GGGATCTACACGACTGTTGCGCTCTCCCCTAAAGCCCTTCGCCTAATCACACGCCAGAAGGGTGTGTGAAAAAGGGGCACGCTTAAACCAACCCTGACTAAAGGAAAGTTTTACTGGTGTTAAGCTTACCCCCACCATACATACATGTTTTAACTCTCTTTTAAATCTATAGACGGCAAACAGGTTGTAAAATGAACTCTTATAAAGACTAGAGTGGCATTTGGTTTAGTTTTTGCTACCCCCAGTGATATTTACAGCTATGAGCAGTTACGGAAGCAACATTAGAACTTAAAACCACTTCATGAACTCCTAAAGCGCTACTGTACAGCTAAAAGTTGCAAAATAGGCTGCTATTTCCACTAGTGTGCTAGTTGGGGGCTAGTAAAAAACCACATTCGCAGATGCATCGTTCTCGTTGCGAACCTACCCACATTTAAAATAATAAATAAGTAACCACGATTAAGTGATAACGGAACACTCTATTTCCTTTTCATTTCGAAAATTCGTTCGCCCGAAATAGTTTGATAATTCAATTCTCCAAGCCTACTCTAATTCACAAAACTTTCAAAGGAAAAGTTGAATTTGACAGATAATTATCTGACAACAATTATAACAATTATAATTGTTCGAAATTTCAACCTCAAATTGACAAAATGAAAAGTCCAGTGTTACCTTTAAAAGTGTTACCTTTTCATTTTATTTAATTATATTATTATTTTCGTTTTCAGATTTCTGTTTTAATTAAGCCTAAAATACTTGGAAGAGTATTTTTAATAATAGCTTTAGCTTAGCTTAGCTCGAGAAACATTTTTAAGATGTAAAATTAACAAATAAACCATTTTTTTTATTATCTATTGTAATTTCGATACTTCAAAGTATTAAACGACAAAAGATTGACATACAGTAGATTGTATCAACTCTACAAATTAGTCGGCTAACACTGTTTAAGAAGGTTCTTTCAATGTCATCAAAAAATTTGCCGTAAACTACCTATACTGTTTCCAAGTAAAACAACGTTATGATAAAATTAGAGATAAAAAGATCTCACAAACATGACTCATTCAAAAACTGTTTATGGTTCCGAAGTTAATGTGCCTGTTCGAAAATGAAATAGAGTAGAGTCAATGGCGAAATTTCGTTAAAAATTCTTTCGTTACTGCAATTTCGTTTTGGATAAAAAGAGTAAAACTCCTGGTGCGAGTCCTCGCAAACGAAGGGTTCCATAATACAATATTTAAAACTAGCCTTGGATGGAGCAAAACAAGTCGAAGAATATAAGATGAGTACCATCACTTATTTGGGTACACATTGCAACCAAATTAAACAAAAAGTTCATTTCACTACTGCTAGACATGAGTAGTCTTTTGCCCCTTAGAGTCAGTTCATACCGAGACTAGACGCGACGGTACTGGAAGAGGGCATGTGCATCTGAATTGAGTGATCCTTGTTAAGTTATCAATAAAACCAAGACGTACGTTTAGTGTAAAATTGTCAAAACTCATGAAATAAAAAAAAAACACTCAAAGGCGATCGAAGATATTGCCTAAAATGTGGATCACTCAATTTAGACATTAGGATACGCTGAATCTCAGAAAACTTTAACGCCGTAAACGAAATTTTGATATTAAAAAAATGTACAGAATTTTTCACATTATTTTACAAAAAATCAAGTTACATCAACATAAATCCAGGAATCTATGATAGTTTCATTGGAACACTCAATCCTGACTCATTTAGATTGAGTGATCCTAGAAATACGGCATTATGTTTACGAATTGCATAATATTTTTTAGTCACCTAGAAGGTAACTTTTGAAAATATCTGTACAAATTAATAACACACCACAAATGCTTTTAGTTAAAAAGTTATGACCAATCAAACCTTTTTTAATTTGCTGAACTGAGTGATCTTTATAAACGCATGTAGATAACTACTTACCTCTTGGTATAAAGTATACAGAAAATACGTTGAAATTTTGGATAATATTTTTGACTAAAATTTAGCATATAATTTATTTGAATACGTCATTCCATTTGCGAGATTTTCGTTTTTAATTATAACGTATACTATTTTGCCTAACGTCTGAATTGAGTAATCCACATTTTGAGCAATATCTTCGATCGCCTGAGAGTGAATTTTTTTTTGATTTCGGTTATGAGTTTTGGCAATTTTACACTAAATGTTCGTTTTGGTTTTATTGAAAACTAAACAAGGATCATTCAATTCAGATGCACATGAAGAGGGCAGCGAGACGCATAATATATGTAAAAAAGACTATAACACATGTGCAAATATAAATCAAAATGTAACACAAGATTTAAGTACAAGCTTGCCGTTCCATGTTTTAGACTCCAAAAATGTAGAGGTTCATTTCTAGGTTGTAGTATTGCAATGTTTGATGAAGTTTCCCAAGATCTGATTGAGCCTCCTCTGACTTCTCAGATCAAGAATACTCTTATGAGTAAGGGCTATTATAAAGTTGATAATTATCTTAATAATTGTAATGCATGGACATGTGTATGTTTTTTGTAATGTACCTAATGGTAAATCTTGTAGTGTACCTACCTATAGTTCTTGTAACAGCCTAGAGTGAATCAATGATTTTGATTTAATATTAGGATTTGATTTTATTGCCACTCCCGATGACAACAAGATGAGCACATCAACAATATTTATACCTATATATGTTTTTAAAGTCAGAACTACTAGTTAATAGGTGTTAATAGATATTTTAAATAACTTCAGTTTTAATATTATACGCTTTTACTGCGAAGTTCTTAAAACACTCCTTGGTGCTGTTTTGGCTGCAGATTGTACCAAAGCATTCATAACTACACACTCGACTCTAAAAACATAACCAATAAAAAGTAAAAAGATGCATTACCAGGAGAATATAGTAGAAGCTAGATGAAACGGCCGACAGAAATAATTTTTATGTCTTTTATTACTGCTGGAGTGGCACCGTACCGTAATGTGTTGATCTGTATCTGTTATTCTTTTATAATTTAACTAGCGGCCACCCGTCAAAACTATATTCATACTAAATTTCATCCAAACCCGTTCAGTTGTTTTTGCGTGATTGAGTAACAAACATACAAACTTTCACATCTACTATATAAAAATAAGTCGGGTTTTCCTTCCTGACGCTATAACTCCAGAACGCACGAACCGATTTCCACGGTTTTGCATTCGTTGGAAAGGTCTCGGGCTCCGTGAGGTTTATAGCAAAGAAAATTCAGGAAAATATTTAAAAAAAAAATCGTTTTCTTTTAATCACAAAACGAAATGTTACATAAAACGAAGCTATCTGGTGGCGAAACGGAGTTCGCTGGGTTTGCTAGTTTATAATATATATATAAGTAGGACATAGCGAGCCGACTTATTGTTATTCGCATCGCATTCTGTGTTTGTTTTATATTTTACTAGTGGCCCGCCCTCGCTTTGCTTCGGTGTAGAGCTGTAGTATAGACTATAGTTTTTGTTCTCAGGCTTGTTACACAATGACATTCTTCTAATACCTAATAACAAGAGGCACGGGCCGCAAGGCCCCCCGCCCGGTAGCGTCGGAACCGCTGTGTCCCTGCATTTTAAACCTGTAATATCTTCGAAAATATCCATTTAAATTACATGCGTTAAATAGCCAAATTGGTCTATATTTAATGCACAATGTATTTTAAGGTACTTAATTGGATAAGGATGAATGTGATATAGCTGAAAATCGCTTCGTAAAATAATCTATTATTTCTCGTAAACAGTATAGGAAAACAATGGTTATTGTGGGTTACCCCTAAGAGATAGACATATACCATCGCGGACTTTTTTGTAGACCTTTTTAAGGTGTACAATACTGTAGTAATTTATTTTGATCTATCTCGTAGGGTTCAGCCAGCGATTGTAATGTAAGCCAAAAAATGTGTTTATTTACGACCTTACATTAAAAACCTCTAAAATTATCAGTGTTTCTCTACTATATTATGCATGTATTATACATATAAACCTTCCTCTTAAATCACTATCTATTAAAAAAACCGCATCAAAATCCGTTGCGTAGTTATAGAGATCTAAGCAAACATAGGGACATAGGGACAGACAGCGGGAAGCGACTTGACTATACTATGTTAGTGATGATGGTAAATATCCATAAGGCGTTGACAGACGACGGGGCGGGGCGGGCATTTTGTCCGCGAAGCAATAAAGACCGCGTCTGCCCGTCAATGTCTGCGGCTGCCCGCGCCGCGTACACAAAGCACACGACGGGCAGAGGCGGTCAGTTTAGGACGTTCGTTCTAGTGAATAGTCCATCACTAATAAGCGCGTGGCGCGGACTGAGCTGACCGCCTCGCGCCGCCGTCTGCGTTACTGCATATAAACTGGTTTGTATGATCCACGGCGGGCAGCCGCAGACATGCCGCGCCGCCACTGCCCGCCGGGCACCTGCAGCGCGGTCTTTTTGCCCTCTGTGTGCGTTTGAAGTATAGGATTCACTTTGTGCTATTATTCGCGGCGAAATTTACCGGCCCGCCCCGCCCCGACGTCTGCAAAGTGCCTTATAGTAGGGGACCCCGCTTGGACTCGAATAGTAGAGAACTGCTATTAAGTATAATTTTGGGATTTACTCGAGCGCGGCAGAATAATATAAGGGAGGCAACCTTGAACCTTGTGAAGTACTCCCACCATACCTGAGCCCTTTAATAAAGGGCCGAATGTCTAGGGAAGCAAAAGAAAAAAAAAACAAAAACTAAGTAATATCCCTCAGGTAGGTAGGATTTGGAGGCGACCAAAAGTCATGGCTGTTTGTTGTTTTTTTTGGTGCCCCTCTCCTCGGCTGCATATTAGGGCTCAGGTATGGTGGGAGTACTTCACAAGGCGCAAGGTTAGTCCCCCTTATGTTATTCAGTCGATCTCTGCTTGGGTTCCCAACCTAAAAGGGATGCAGGTATAGGTATATATTGTGACTAGTGTGTGAACACCAATGACTGAACGGCAGGTTGTGTATGCAGTTTAAATAAAACACTCTTTTCAAGAAACTAATATTTATTTATCTCTGGGATATAATTAAAACAATTTTAATAATAACCATAAGATAGAAAATAAACTGTCATATTAATAAAACACTCTTTTCAAGAAACTAACATTTATTTATCTCTGGGATATAATTAAAACAATTTTAATAATAACCATAAGATAGAAAATAAACTGTCATGTCATGTTTTTAGTTACTGTGACTACCTTTTAATATATTTCTAAGCAGGCTGAAAATAAATAGTATACTGTAACATTGTTTTGGTTTCACTCTAAATACTTCATGAATAGACTAAAATACTTTTGAGAGCCCTCTGGGTTGCACTTGTCAATAATGAAAGACCTTTTCAACACATTTGCTCAAAAAATGCATTTAAGAAGGTTCTATACATTGTTCGAAAATACAAAATTACAGGCAATACAGCGGAGCTTCCGGTAAAATTTATTATGCACGCTCGAACCTGTCTTGCTTTAATACTAAAAATAAAAAGAGACGAAATATGTAGTTCTAATTTTCACCGCCTGCACGAGGCGCCATTTGGTAAGCGCGACATTTTTATATTAAAAAAATTGTTTCATTAATTATGTAAAATATTTTCTCGCAAATGTGTTGAAAAACGTTGTATAACATTCGTGTGGATTGGTTTTACAAACTCGGGCTCATGGTAAGCCCGAGACGAATCGTTTTTATTAACCAACTTACCGCACGTATATCATAAATAAATAATGTGCAAGAGGTTGGCAGTCAAATTTGAAGACTTAGAATAATATCTACTAAGACATTAGGTATTCAATTCGAGACAATGTTGATAAATCACTTATTCAACCTACCCAAGGCTCATTGTTATTACAGGACTACTGATACATACTATCTGTGCAACTTAGTTCGCGCCAACACACAAATTCTCACAATCTCAAATCTAGTTGTAAATCATCTCCAAATATAATGTACGGTTTGCAATTTTCATAAGCAAACGCGATCAATTTTATACGTTTTAAGTTACACAGAAAGTCTGTTCTTTGCCTGTAACTTCGCAATAAAGAACATAACAATCGATGACTAAATTAAATCGAATTACAGCATTAATTAATCGGATACAAGTTACAAAATCATTCGCGGTTGCGCAACGCTTTCCGAAAAATCATTACCGTTAAAAAGAAACTGTAGATTAAAAAGATCAATCGTAAAAGCAAGCTCCTATTTTACTTGTCAATCTAGGTATTTTGAATACTAAATTTACCTACTTACATTTATTTTATATATTTTTTTAATATTTATAAATTTAACTGCTAGATGTTTTACTTACATTAAATCAAAGATTGCCGTGAGAAATTGATCTCCGTATTTCATAATCAATTTAATTTTATAATAAATAATAAAGCAATAATACTGAACGCAAAACTACTACAATACTCTATTCACTACATTCTATTCGGTAGAATAAATAGCCATTAACTACACACATCGAATACTGAGTTTGACGAAATTTTAACTTTTCTATCTACAACACAATAAAATATATTTTTCCTAGACATTTAAATTACTTTACGTATATTAAATATGCATAAAATGTCATAATATATGTTTGCGACGTAAACGAGGTAAATCGTGTGTGTCAATATCACAAGATCTTACAATAAATAGCTGGTGCATTAATTAAGAAGAAAACATTAAAATTTTGAAAGTTTCTTTCCACAAGTGCACATTTACTAAAATGCAACAATGCAAGCGGCAATCTGTCCGACACGACCTAAACCTGTTCAAAATAAAATTAAGCAATCATTGGTTTGTTATTATCTTAAAATCTAAACGTTCATTGTCAAAATATTAATAAGACATACCTACTGTCAAATACTGCGATACAAATACAAAAAAAGCTCCACACATAATGAGATAGTGCTCAAAATTGTTATACATAACCGTTGTTTGACCACAATGAGATCTTTAGAAAATATGCTTACAGATTCACGCTTTCGCTTTGACTGCTAGCAACAATGTTCTTTTTGGATTAGTTTGTTCAATACCTTTACACGCCTACTGCCTACATGAAAATTGAACTGTAAATAAAATTAATAATGTTGAGGTCGTATCCGGACAGGTCAGGAAACAGAGGTCCGCTTAGAACCTAATTCCGGCCTGCACTTGGGCCATCAGTTCGGCAGACTTGCGTAGCTGCTGGGTCTCGGAGTCGGTGAGCGGCTGCCGGATCACGTCCGATACGCCGGTGCTGCCCAGCACGCAAGGCAAGGAGAGGAATACTTCATCCTCGATTCCGTGCTCGCCCTGTCACATGATATTTAAGATAAGAGATACAAATAAGGCCTACCACCTAATTTCAAACACTCATATCATGATAGATTATTCGAAGAAGGTGATTATTAGGCATTATTCTTTGGTTCATAAATTTTAAGTAATTAAGAAATCATATTACAATCTATTATCAGAAAACACTTAAAAAGAGCTAATTCTGGAACCTTAGCCTTAGGCATTTTTAAAACATAGTGACTTAATTAAGCATATATACTAAGCTATAGGAATATTGTTATCTTTAGAGTATAAATTTATCAAAATATGATTTGCTCAAATAAAAAAATAAGGCCTATTATAAAAGTAGGCTTTATTTAGTCCATTATACTTTATAAAAGTTATAAGCAGTATTTAATTCGCATACTCTAAAAATTACAATTTTCAGTCATAGTTAACTTTTTACTTAATTATATTGTGATCCGTATACATTACATGAAACAAAACTTCAAAGAATAACGTTAACGGTAAAATTAAAATACGATAAAAATTACGACAAATTTAATAACGCGCTATGAAAACGCTGTCCTTCACAAAATACCGCCACTACTGACGCTATGAGCTCGAGCGAACTATTCTGGCACAGTTTGCCGAGTTGTAGAACTGTCGTCTATGCGTGTGTAAAGTATTTTTGATGTAAATATATTTTATTAGACTTTTCAGCACTACAGGCCTTATTTCATTTCAGCATAGGCCTTATTTGTATCAGGTACCTTACATAAACAAACTTATTGAAGAAGATAGTTTTTTTACCGGTAAGGCTTTAATGGGCGATCACAACTTGGAAAAGGGGAATTACTTAGCAATGGGAATATGAGAGAATTTATCGAAGAAAAATATATTAGGTACAGGAATAATTTTATGGTAAAATGATTATCGAAATAAGTTAGTTATGGGAGTATTTTTATGAAGTAATAGGGGGTTTTTTTTATTGTATATGGTATAATTAAAGAATATCATCAGTTTACCTTCAAGTAGGTAGACACAGCGTGCACGCTATTGGCGTTGGACAGGATAGCTCGGGCCAGCTGCGAGAGCGAGAGGCCGATAGCCCAGGAGGTGTAGCCCTTCAGCTTGATGACCTCGTAGGCGCTGGTCACCACCATCTCGTGGGTCTCCTTCCAGTTCTCCGTATCGGCTTCGGTGCCGATCTTGGGGTTGAGGTCGCTCAAGCGCACGCCCGCAATGTTCACCCCGGACCACACAGGCACTGTTACAATAACATACTTATTAAAAATGAGTATCTACTTGGATTTTTATCACCTATCATTATGTTTCAAAGGAACATCTTTGACACTTTTTGAAATGTATACGAAGAACACTATGAATAACTCGTCGGAAGTCAAGTTTAAAGTTACAAAACAACCAAGTCAGTATGTAGGTACCTATTGGTTGTACAAAGATTAAGTAAGGTTTTTAAACAATACTTTAGTTGAAGTAAACTTGCATATGACTTTTCTAATACCCATATATAAGGTATTAGTTGGTCAGAAATAATACCTTATAATAAATACAAAGTTTACATAGAAAAAACAGATGCGAAGCATCTTTTCAGATGCTATTATTATTTATATGCGTAAAATTTTCTTTGCGGTTGCAATAGTTGTCTATAGATAAAAGGTTATTGAATGAGTGAGGCCTCTATAGGGTACCTATGTAATATAGTTATCAGAGTTATAAAGGTAATCTCACCACTGCTGTCGCCGTGCTCGCCTATAATGTAGCCGTGGCAGGAAGTGGGAGCGATGCCCAGCCTCTCTGACAGCAGGTAGCGGAACCGCGCCGAGTCCAGATTGGTGCCCGAGCCAATGACGCGGTGCTTGGGCAGCCCGCTGATCTTCCACGTCACGTACGTCAGGATGTCCACCGGGTTGCTCGCGATCACGAATATCGCGTCCGGGCTGTGCTCCACTAGCTGTACCAACAACCATTCATTTTAGCAGGCGGAGTTCCAATTCCATAAAACCCCGTCAGCATCTTCCGACGACGAAGAAATCGTCATACATTTCCCAACATTAAAAGATTCGTTGGTTAGGTTAGGGCACCCAAAATAAAAACTACCTGAGGCAACTTGGGCGATATCGAAAGCGATCAGCCTTGGGACGGAGTAGTCAAAAGGTTAGGACAAAAGCACATCAATGCTAGTACATCAAAATATCGAAATCCTTCAATCGATTTTAAACTTTGAACTCAAAGGTCAAATGAAGGTGAAGATAAAATTCGTTTGTGAGAATTCATTCAGTTTTTAATTTGTAGAAAAATGCTGCTGTGCGTTGCGTAGATAGGTTGTTTAAAGTAGTCATAGTGGTAAATATATAACTTATAGAAAAAAAGTTACCGGTGGGATGATGTGTTTCAGGATATCAGTGTTCCTCTGCACGAGGTCCAGCCTCGACTCGCCCTCTCTCTGCCTCACTCCCGCCGTTATGATGCAGAGCTTCGAACCCGCCGAAATTGAATAATCTACAAGAGAAATCAACACTCTCGCTGCAAATAGGTTCAATTTATAAAGTTATATAAAAACACTCATATAGTAGTACCCACAAGGGGTTCGGAGTCTCCGGAGAAATAAATTCCTCCTCAGAGAAGACCACTGCTACCCTGATATGAACTCATTGAAAGATTTACAATGATATCCTTTAACTGAAACTTGGTATTAAAAGTCAGGAAAATCCTTACCAGTGCTAGCCTGTATTTTGGCGTTGCGCATGAACGCGGATCCGTGCTGCAGGTCCATCATCTCTCCTTTTAGCTTATCCGCCATCACGTCAACCAGGGCAATGTTGTTTGTCACACCCTGTTGAAAATCAATTAGTTGTGTAAAACCTAGACAAAGGAGAACGGGCAATAATGTATGAGAAATGTACCCACCGACACACACCGAGATCATAGCTGTATGTCGTGAAATAGCACTTCTCATAACTATTATTTTTACTATGAGGGCAAGTCTCATTTCGCTTTGGGTAAAAAATTCTAGCAAAAAGACAGAAATAAAAGACTATTTAGCTTAACTATTTTCTACAGCGAATTGAGACAAGCTTCCATAGTAACAAACAAATACTAGTCATGAAAAGAGCTTTCCGATGACATACATTTGGTCGGTGGGTACATTTCGCCCGTCTTCCTTTTATCCATTTTTACTTTGATCTTTCGTTGTAAGAATAGGACGCCAAACTCAGTTCCGATAAATGCAATTTTAAAACTTTGAAATGAAAAAGTCTGTGATATTATATAAAGCATATGCCGGCGATTAAGTCCAAAAAAAATTAACCCCCGCCGCCAAAAGCTGTATCTGTATAATATCTGTCTGGCTGGGTGGCACTGTAGCTCCAAACATGACCAAGCTGATATGACCAGGATGTTACCGAGATAGAAGTTACTTTACTTAGTTAAGTAATCATCTGTTCAAGCGTTTGAAGTTCGTCAGCTCATTTTCTAGTAGTCACGATAAAAGTTTTTGTTTTATAATGTAGGAAAACATGAAAAGCAAAATGTGGCGTTTTTGAGGTTGTCGTTTATATAGGTATACTAGCTGACCCAGCGAACTTCGTACCGCCCTAAAAAAATAGGGGTTGTCCAGCGGACAAAATTGTGAATCTAAACCATTCTCAGATCCCCTTGAACACACACAAAAAATTTCATCAAAATCGGTCCAGTCGTTTAAGAGAAGTTCAGTGACATACACACTCACAGAAGAATTATATATATAAAGATGGAGGTAGGTCTGTATACCAATTTCAAACCAACAGCAACCAACCACGGAAGGGATATAAGTATGCATGAGCGTGACACGCATGACCCATATGGCGTGAGTGGATGTATTTTTATATCAGCTGTACTTTGTTATATTTTTGCACCGTTAATTCTTACCTACCATCAATTAAACTATTCAAAAGCTCCTATCGAATTAGATTTATTTCTTAAACAACAGCAAATTACCTAGTACCAAATCGAATAGGGATATATCATGCTAAGGACATTCACATTACCACCAATAGTTAGTGCTCACTCTACTTTGAGACTTTTTGTATTTCTTTTATTCCATTCTGTACATGTTTATGCAATAAATGTAAAAAAAGGAAGTAGAAAGAAATGTTTGATCAGGCAAACCAGTCAAATGAGTGACTTTGGTAGCTTTATTTTAACTTTATTGCCACACCTTATCAATCGGCGGACTTAATGCCACAGCCATTCTTAACTAATCAACCAATTTGTTGGGGGCAGGTGGAGGGTAGCTGCCCCCTTTTGGCGATGCCCTTGAGTAGTAAAAATGTAACTTTATGTACTCCACAGTTAATTTGATCAACATCATTTTGTCAAATTAACTATTTGACAAAATGATGTAAGTACGATGATAGTAAGTAGATACTTCGTTACTGTTTTACTAGTTTTTCCACATTAGTTTAAGATACGTGAAATCAATATAATTTTGGAAAGACAAAGATAATGTTTGAGTTGAGTTTCTTTAACATGAGTGTAATAATCAAATCGCAGTGTTTGATATAATTATTGACCATGAGTAAACCAAATCAAAAGATAACATATTATGTGTAAATAAATTTTAAAATATAAGGCAAGTAAGTATAAATAAATCAGCTATATTATTATGAAATTGACAGCGTGCAGCGATTTATGAATATCGGAAAGAGGTGTGTCAGTACTCAGTACCATATCAAATAGAGGGCGATTGACTTTGTTGGGAAATTAGGTGTGACATGAATTTTGTATGATAATTATTGATCTTAACATTATTAATACCTATATTAGGACTCAATGTTCTGTGTGCGCCAGTACTTATAAACAAAGTAATTACAATTTTGATTAAAATTTATGCTTTCGGTTTCTTTTCCAGTTATATTAAATAGCTATATATGCCGTGTTTGCCATCGGCCAATGCGGCAACCGCGGACAAAAGTATATTTTTTTTTATTTTATCACTCAGTAATAAGGTAGATAGTATGCAAAAACGAAAAGATAAATTTAACGGTCGCTGCAGGGTATTAGTGTTTAGCTAGGATATTGTAAAGGCTGGCCTAATACATAGTTTTGTTATCTCGGCTGCCATTGATCGATTAACTATCAGCTATAATAGTGTGAGAGTACATAGGTATCATAAACAAAATTGCATATTGATATTTATGATATTAATTAAACCGTTATCAAAAATACTGCTTCAAGCTTCAACCAAGTATATTACTTAGGTCCGCGTTGACTTAGGTTTTCTGAGAATCCCACAGGAACTTAACTTTTTTCGGGATAAAAATTATCCAACGTCTCAACACAGGTCCTAAACTATTACTACTACAAAATTTCATCTAAATATGTTCTTGCGTGATTGAGTTACAAAGTTTCACATTTATAATATTAGCAAGATTGTCTGGACATAGACAAACCGGAACGCAGAGGCAACTCCAAGTTTTCCATTTCAATTGATACAATTTACAGAGTTTCTACAGACACAAATAATTTCGATTATAGGCCAGGGCGGATGACTTTGAAAGTCGTAAAAAATTAAAAATATTCGGAATAGGATGAAACCCAAACCAAGACGAAGAGAACACATTTAAAAAATTGGAAAAATAAATTACAGGCGATTTGAGGGTAGAGGGTGACAAGAAACTACAAGTAAAATTTTACCAGGAGTTGGTAAAATTTTACCTTTTCATATCCAAAACACGCTCTAATTTTCTTGATAGAAAGTATTTATTTTTTCTTCTTATTATGATATTATGCATATCGAAAGAGTTGCCTACCTTAATTTCAATCGAAAAATCTTCCTATAAAAAATTTGATTTTAAAAAAGAGTTGGTGCGCTTTTTATTCTTTGGAACAAAAATAGGGAAATAAAACGTATATCAAAATACTTTCTGATGGTATACAAAAATACATTACTACAGATTTTTTTCTCAGAAAATGCAAAAGCGTCGTCACGATTCTCGAGCTGTCAAAGGAGGCAAACGGTTTATCGCGAATTCCGAGAAAACTACAACTCCTATCGAACAAAAACAAAACCAAAATTGTAGATGATTTTAAGATCTACTTTTATATCCGACCTCAAAAGACCCGTAATTATTTACATCTTTTTATGTTCTCTTCCTTTTGGTATGGGATTCATCGTGTTCCGTATTTTTTTCTCAAAAATTTTTTTCTCCCCTGGCTTCTAATAGGGGGAACCGCGGGGGTTACGAGCTAGTACCTGCTCCTAGGCCCCACCTGCTTATGTTATATACTATACTAATAGGATTCTAAGAATAATATATTAAAAGTATTTTCGCAACATTTTCCAAAAATAATATAGTTACATACCGAATTTCCCCTTTTTCCGTAGTAGGTACTTTAATAACGTAAATACTTTATGGATTCTCCTGTAAATGATTCTTTCCTCGTGCCGATTTACATCAGTTTATTTACGGAATAGGTACCGACCTATTAAAGTATTATGTAACTTTTTGTATTTTCATATTTAACCTCTGTATAACCCCTGAGGTTTTATTAAAGCTGACTCGTGTAGAAAGTGAGTGCACTTGCGGTTTGCAACTTCACTTTTGCATTTCTATTGAATTTACCGTTCGATTACGCATTCAGTAACTATAACCGTTGACTTGAACCCAATAATTATCATTAACATTAACCAAGAAAACTCCACATACCGCTATAAGTATTTATTTAAAGACGACATGTATACTATGTGTGATAGTTAATCTTGGATTGATGCCAAAACTGAATAAAAACTAAAAAGTTGCTGAACTTTTGATTTTGACACTATAAATAAACAGTTTGAGTGCCAGGGTGAAACTGACCGATGTATAAAATAAAAAGGGGTTATTTAGTTGGAATTCGACGATGGAAATGGTTACAATTTAAATGTGGAGCTGTAGGCGTGTCTTGTTCGCATTCACGTTATAATACGTATCGAATCAAGGACAACGAAGGTCGAGTTCCCGTCTGGTCTGTAGGCTATATAGGCAGCATTAGGTAATGTACTAAAACCATTTTCGTTCACAGAATAAAGAAAATATATCTTTTGCTACGACCTTTGGTTATTTTTATTCAGTACCTAATGCGTATTTTGTTTATAGCTTGCGAATGTTTTTAAGGTTAGGTAGTCTAAATAGCAGAATATTTTGACTTTTTGTGAAACTGTTTCTGTATTTTCTAGGCATTGGAATCGCACTTTTTTTCGGAAAATTATTTGATATTGAATAGGGATGTGATCGGCTATCGCAAAACTCAGTAAACGAGCTACAATACAAAGTTTTACAATATCGAAATATAATTGTTTAACAAGACAAAATATAAGTATGATGTTACTATTAGAAACACCAATTATGTGATTTTATTTGCGTAAAATTAAATCTCGTAAAATCAAGAGATAATAGAGTCATTAGTTCTGACTTATAATGAACATTACAGATTTTATCCACTCATCCATAACAAATATACTTATGCTATGCTAATTTTAAAAGAGCGAGTTACAATAATCGTAATTTTGTAAACTATGTAGATGGAACAACTGTTATTTATCAGTGATTTTAGTCGGCTCCGTATAAATAACTGAGATATTGTTTGCTCTCTTAAATATTCATTTTAAATGTTCTTTGAATTATTAGATTGTTTAACAAATGTCATTTAGAAATACCTGACCAAGCGCGAGTCTGGTTTAGCTGTATTTAAGGTTCCGTACAAAGAAAGACGAAGGCAACATGGCTTCTTACCATGTTATCCTGTTATAGAAGATACCTAAAGTAAATAATTATCACAGAAAAAATCTCGTCCCATTTCCATATTATATGAAATTCCAATTTGAATTTTTAAGTAATTTTTCGGCTTTGGGCAAGTTTCCAACTAATATTATAATTGTGAAAGTTATTATTTATTTGTTACTCAATCACGCAAAAGCTAGGTACTGAACGGATTCCGTGAAAAAGATAGGTTCCCGTGGGATTCTTATAAAAACCAAAGTCAACGCAGACGAAGCACACATAAAATACCAAAATTTCAGTTTCGTAACTCTTTCCGTTTGGAGACACGTGACATACGGACAGACAGGCAGACAAGCGACCGCAATCGTTTTACCCTTTAGGTACGGAACCCTGAGAAGACAAAAGTACCTCGAACAAAGTGGAAGCCAATAAGAATTATAATAGACGTACTTCGTTAAATATTCAGTGACTAAAGTACCGATAGCATATTGTCACTAACATTGACGTGTAAAAATGGTCACAACTCACTATTCAAGTGAATCTTAAGTACGCACCTGATCATTGCGCGGGGAAAATTTACCAGGAAAATATCTTTCCCGGCTCGAATATCTGCACATAGGTTCTTACCAAGGAATTGTTTGCGGTAATATGAATTTAATATAGAACTTAAAACGAAAACTTGCTTAAATAAACTTAATGATTTAGGTACTTACAAATTCCATTTCTACAAATTATATCAGGATTAAAGGTAAAAGTAGATCTATAGCAAAAATTAGTAATCATACAATTTTGAAAAACGGGCCGAATTGACGCGTAGCGAACGTGAAAAAAATAAATTCGATTTGAGAACCTCCTCCATTTTTAATTGAAATCGGTTATGATGTTAAAATAGCTCCAGAAGGTTTTTATTTATTGCCAACCAAACCAAGGTATACCTGTAACACATTTTTATGAATAAGATTTCTTTGTATTCCATGATAGTTTACCTGCGTGAGTAGTGAGAAGACGGCCGCCATCCCGACCTGGCCGACGCCCACCACGGTGACCTTGCTGCCCGTGTCGTCGGTTTTGTCCTGCACCGGCTGGAACAGCTTGTCTATCGTCGCCATTTTCCCTATACACAAACCAAACATCTCGAAAATGTTCAACAAAAACTGAGAAAATGTGTCAATTGCAATCTTTCACTTTGCAATCAAAATTGCAAAGTCAATTATAAGTAATAAAAAATTTACATGATAAGAAAGAAATAACAAATTCTAATAAACATAAATAAATCAACTCGCTTTTGGTAAATAGGCAATTTTCAAATGCAATCCAAGAAAATTCTTTTTTATTAATAATTATATTTATATATGCATATATCCTTCTTCATAATTAAAGGAAAACACTATAATAACAGATCCAGGTAAATGGATTATTAAATGATTTAATATGCGAATGAGGTTTAAGTTTCATTAGCTAAGTCTGATGAGGACTAAAGAGCGCCTTATAAATAAATTGCATTTGGATAATTATCAGATAAAATAAGAATAATTCAAACAAAAAAAAAACATTGCATACTTGTTGCATACAAACACAGCTGCATCTGATTCTTAGAAACTAATTGCGAGATTATTAAAAGTAAAAGTAAAAAAAAAACAATGATCTACTCACAACGGCCGTTGGTATAACAGTTGTGATTATTTTCCGTCATTGTTTTATCAATATTCAGTATATAAGGATGTTTCTGAATTAAGTATTCCCGATTAAAACACCGGTGTTCCCGATCAAGCACTGACACAAACGTTCTCCGCGACTTAACTGAATGAACTAACCGACAGAAGCTGTATAACTGAACTCCTGTCTGACTGGTTTCACCGTTTTGAATGAACTGACTAAGCGGCGGGACACGTAAAAATTTATAGGGTGAAATTCAAAAGTTATGTGACGAAAGTCACGCATGGGCATTCCGAGTAATAATGCCGAATTTCTAGAAATACTTATTACAATTTTTTTATCGTTTACCTTCTAGCCGTGTCGATCGAACACATCATAGGATATGACCAATTTATTTATTTAGTGCCTCTTACGCCGAAATCAATAAAATTGACGAAATATGGCTTCTTCTAATATAATGGTTACGTAGGTACTAGTTAAAAAAAGTTAAACCTTTTGTTGCGTGCGTTCAATCGACTCTACATGAAATCGAGAAGCCAAAAATAGCATCTTCTTTCAGTATTCAACCGAAACTTTGAAATTGTGTGAAAATATATACATATTTTTCTGTTTTATATTATGAAAAGATAGGCATTACTGATTGTTCTTTCATTTAATTAAAAAAACTTTGGCAAAGAACGATACAACAATTTCACAAGTTACGACAGACATTGTTACACATGTTCTTCCTACGTATGAGTAATGTGCGATTAAGTACTGGGAATTAACAAACGTAATAAGTACCTATTCACTACGTACCTAGTTTTAATCTTGCTAGGCTGTTAATAATAGCAAACCACTCCTATTTTTATTTTATTACGTCATTTGCGAAGGTTAGTTTTTAAATTAACAGATCAAAGCTTCATTTGTTGTGACTTTTCTCTTTTTATGGTTCATTATATAATCTTCAATGTTACTTTAGATCAGTTTTTCGTTCAATCATTTAAATTAGAAGGCGAGCAAAGCAAATAAGCTTTTTTATATGTTAGAATTTATTACATAAAATATTTACACAGGATATTCTTTATGCACTGTAATAAAATCCCTTAATTATGAAAAATTATTTTCCATCTATCTATTTATTGTTTTTTTTGGCATTTTAATGATTTTCTTTAATTATGCAGTCTTCTGTGTGACTTATCACTTCGATTTCTTTTTTTTATCAATGAGTCACCATCGTCGTAATCGTGACGAAATCACAACAAACTTTATAACCTTGCATGTACCTACCCACTTTTTTGTGAATACAATCATCTACATACAACGTTCAATTTAAATTATTTTTGTTAGCTTTATAAATAGATCAACTATAGTAATATATTTAAGTTAACATAGCATACGTGCTTACATTAAACAAAACTAGTAATGAATTAATTTGAAAATAAATCCACTAAAAATCGCGCTACAAACTTTTCTAGTTTCTACGAGCGCCGGCCGGCCGGATGGGAGCGCTGAACCGTACGAAAAACTAACCAAACAAAAAATACAATAAATAGAACGTAAATAATGTATGAGAATTTTTCAGAGTAATTTTCAAAATAATTTATTTATTTATTTCCACTTACTGTTTTAATGTTTACGCGGAGCTTGTCACGTAGAAACGACGAGTTCGTAGTCTGTGGTGGCGTCCACTCGGATCCCGCGGCTGTGCCTCAAGGTGACCTTCATCAATCCGTTTTGGATGCCGCAGCACCGCGCATGTCCGAATTAAACCAGCCCACCGTAGAAAAACACGCCATAACACCGCGCACCAAGGGCGAGAACCGCGCGCAGCCGCCCCTCTTCTTTGAGCAGGACTACGATGAACACGCTAACATGCGGCTTGTCATATAATTGGAAGCGTTTGAACTAAATGTTTATGGCAATCTTTGTGATGATTTTCCTATACAGAAACATTATGCTAAGCAGCTCTGGACAATTTAAAACTCATGAAAAACACAAATAAAAGAGACACTTTTCATCAAACGGTAACAAAGCAGCATTGATAACTTTGAAATAATTGACCTTGACCTACTGGAAAAGTGTCACCTGAACTTCAGCTCCGTTAACTACGAATTCACTTGAAAAATGACCTTATCTCTACAAATTACAGACTGAGTTTAGAAAAAGCTAACCATGTGAAAAACAGCTGTAGAAACAAAAGCTTATTGTATAAATTGCCCTTCCCACCACGTTTTTCCCTTCATTTAAATGCTGGGAAACTTGTGCTTTTTTTAAACAAGTAGGCATTAAATACTTTTCAGACCATTGTTCGATATTCCTTAATATCAGACAATTATTACCATTTTCCCATACCTTCTTCCTTTAAATAATCTAGTAGAAATACTACCACTCAGGAAAATAGTAGAGAAAAGTCATGTCTACTTCGAATACATAAATTCTATGAACCCACTCACAAAAAAATCGCAATAGGGGTTTGCGAAGCAGGTGATTTTGAAGCGAAATAAAACGATTAAAAAGTTGAAATTTATAATTTTAATGAACTTCGGGAAATGTCCGCATTTTGAACAGCTTTTTTAAATACTTAAAAGTACTGGAAGTATACCAAAATAATTTATGCAGAATTAATGTAGCGTTTGACAAGAGACAACGTGTAAGTAATACATAACGACAAAACGTCAAAATTTATACAATAAGCAGTGGAGCTTTTTAATTTTATACATTTTTTCTAAAAAGTTATGAGTTCTGGACCAAGTTTTGAAGGCTTGCCTTAACACGAATGTGAAAACGGAGTTTCCACACTAATAAGATAGAGATGGAGCTATTAGCGCCAAAAAGTAACAGACTACCAATATCTTAGGCTATTAAACAATGTAACCTACTTATATATATCGCCTCACTGCATAATAGTTTCATAGCAGGCATGTAGTTATTTGAATAATGGAACCGTAAACCTACATACGACCAGGTGATTTAATTGCAAACAATTAAGACTACCTAGATAGTTTTAAACTCGTGATCATTATGCACAACTTAGTAAAGTTTGTACATAACCACTAATGTAAGGTAAAAATAGTATTTTTTATATGAAAGAAAATAGAAATCTCGGTAATCTACCAGAAAAATGGGAGAAATCCAAAGCCGAGAAGAAAAAATCTTCATTGAATATACAGTGACATAAATAATCTGCACAATTAAAATTCATGTGATATGTATACATCCTACTTACTTACTTACTTATACTTGCATAGATTAAGCGTCATTACTATTACCCCTAAGTGCTATTTTCCATCGATTTTAAAAATTTGCGTTTTGTCGTTATCAACCAAAGTGATTCAGTTTTCATTGGACAATCTTCATTCTGTTTTGATCTATCTTTATAATGTCTGCGGATCGCTGTAGCTGGGTAATTTCTGTGGGCGACAGGGGAAGGCGGACGATGTCGGTCACTCCAGCACCTCCGACTACGCAGGGGACTGACAGGAACACTTCGTCGTTTATATTGTACTCTCCCTGACAAAAAAAAACATTCAATAAGTACTCAGATGCTATTGTCAACTAAATCGGCGTCAAGAGTTTTTGAACTATTTGGAGAATCTGGATGGGTCTCGACTGCTTTAAAGAATAAATCAACAAAATTATATGACTTTCCCGTATTATGTATGAAGTAGGGAAATTAGGGTTAAGTTGGGTTGGTTGGTTGGTTGGTTGGCAGACTGTAGCTAAAGCAGTAATTTCACTATATTTACTGCGCCCTGGACAGCTCAGACCCACGCTACGACATAGGAGTTTGAATACCATATATGCATGATTTACTCGTTCAAGGTTTCACGCCATACAATCATTTGTAAGATCAATAACGAATGTAAGTATTTCAGCTAGTTACTTAACTCCCAAACTTTGTATCCTTGATAAAGTTAAGGTAAAAATCCACAAACACCTCCTAGTTATATTCTCTTACAGCAGGCACCTTAAAACGTGAATGGGGGGCTATTTTAATTAAAGTCTCTTCTTACAGTTGGCTATAGGAAAAACGTTTTAAGGAAACCCTGCAAAATTCCTAAAAAAATTGTTGCTGTGGTTGGTGAAATTTGTTCTAATAAGCACTTTTTTATATAATTCGACACCTACGCGACTGTATCAGTCATTATCTTAGAAGGAACTAAGCAACACGACGCGACGTCCTGATATGAACAACAAATATTTTTTATTGACCATTTCATTAACTAGTAAAATATTATCATGTTTGCACAAAACAAACGATAGAGGATGTGACCATTACGAAAATAAAAAAAAATGGTTAACTCTCTCGGAAAAACGTGATTCATTTGGAATTTGGTCTTTCAGTGGTTTTGTTTAAACCCAACGCTGTGTCTGACTTTTTTTAGAAAACACAAGAGGCAGCAACAGTTTCAGACCGAGATTAACTTTAGTCAATGTTTTGTAATAAGGTGGTAAATGTACAGTTCCAAAGAGTGCCTTAAATAAAAAAGTTTTTGCAGTCAGCAAGTAATCGTCATACATTCTATCCTCTTCTAACTTGCATACTCTTTTGTGATTCGATAAGTATAGTTTAGACGATAATGGAGTATGACATGACATAGCAAAATTCATGGTAGGTAGGTACCTACATGGAATGATGATAATGAAATGAAATTACTTATATTATTTCTATAACAATATTGATTTTAAGAAAACCCACCTTTACATAGGTAGAGAGAGGTCGTACGCAATTCTTGTCATAAAGTACCGACGCGCAGATATCAGCTATAGACAACGCTGTGGCCCAGGAGTTGCCTCCTTTGTGGTCGCGCACCTCTTGTTCTCCTAATAACACCTACCAAACAAAACATCCTGTTACTTAGCTTACTGTTTATATAATTGAATTTTAATAACTAGATAAGAAGATAGAGATACTGGCACCGCAGAGATCATTGATTAATAGAATTAAAAAACTGGATAGAGGGAGAACCTTCAAAGAAACGAGACAGAACGGCACGCACTACATACCTTTTTTTCCGATGACGGGGAGAAAAAAATTATTATATCCACGACAATAACCAACGCCACGTTGGTTTGCCGACCAGCTCCCGTACCTCCCCGGTAAACTAACTCCCCGATCTACCCCTCACCCTCCAGGCGTAACTGCAGTGGCCCATGTTATGAGTCGCTGCTTGTTACGCCTGGACGCACTACATAACTAATTTTGTTAATTTAAAATATGTATTCATTCTACTTATTTAGATATGATATCAAAAAGAAACCTTACGTTGTTCATTTAAAACTACTTGATTATATAAAAAAATATACATTACTAAGGAATTTTTTCTCGTCGTTTATTAACTTATTTGGTTGTTAATTTAAGTAATATAAATAAAGTAAGATTGTACAGAATCGTGACGATGCATTTGCATTTTCTTAGAAATTTTTCAATTTTCATGCAGGAATTTAGATTTTATTGCATTTTCAAAAATTAGTTTGGGGTACATAACTTAATTTTATTACAATTGACCCCTCATAAACTTCAATCTGCGATCGCGCATGGGTGAATAAAATAGTTTGCCATGAAAAACAGAGCAAAGCACAATCATGCAGGGTCATTGGCATTCTTGCGCTCGTGAACAAAAAGTGTAACGGTAAACGTGTCACCATACCTGGCGATGGAGCTCCGCCCAATTCTCGGGGTCGTTTTCGGTGCCAATGTCTGGATTCAACCGCTGCAGATGTACCCCACCCGCCGTCACGCCCGACCACACCGGCACTGAATTACATAACACACCTTATGAGAGGTCGCCTGGATAAGTAATCTCCAACAGTAAAATAACTCTACCTTTTGGTGGCGTTGTGTTTTTGTCGGTGAGTAAGTTACCAGAACTCCACGGGATAGGGAATTGGATCAGGGTAGCTAATGGTGCGAGTGATATTTTTTGTAACGCAAGCGTGTACAATGCTTATTTGCCACCCTTTTAACATAAAAAAGAAAACACTTCGTAACCACTGTTATTACAGCGGCCATTATACGATAGGTTTTGTTGTCAGTTTTCTGGCAGTCAAGGTTATGACTGATGCATAACCTTTCATCTATTGGGATGACTGATGATTGATTTAGTCTCTGATGGTGACTAATGGAATTGACTGATGGCTGCAAGAGCTTATAATGACCGCCGTACAGCAGCAATCTTAACAAGGTCGCTGAGATGGAAAGATTTAAACCTCAGCTGAAGGATGGTAAATTGTTTTCCTCCTCTAGTACTTCCTTATCTTCGTGGTCTTGATTTACGTTGTGTATTTAAATAGCTTTTAAATAGCTAGTTAATTCAAACTAAAGGCTAGTTTGATTTAACTAGCTATTTTTAAACTTTTAAATTGACAACTATGAAATACTAACATCCGCCCGCGACTGCGACAGCGTTACAAATAGGTTTTTTGCGTTAGGATCAAACAGGAGCCTAACATTTTATGGAATAAGAAGTTAATTTAGGTAATAAAGTACATGAATGCCAAAATAAATCCAATCAAATCCGTTCAGCCATTTTAGCGTGAAATAGTAAAAAATATCCATACAATTTTTTTATAAATTACGATATTAAAACATTGCGGAGATTTGACTTCTTGAAAAAACAAACGCTCACCACAACTGTAACCATTCTCTCCGATGATATACCCGTGACAAGCGGACGGTGAGAGGCCAAGCCGATCAGCCAAAAGGTACTGGAACGTGGCTGTATACAAGTTGGTCCCAGTGCCGATGACGCGTCCCTTGGGGAGTTCACTTATTTGCCACGCCAAATACGAGAACATATCCACAGGGTCGATCGCCACCAAGAGGATGGTATTTGGACTGTACTTCAGTAACTGTAATAGAGTAGCTTTTGATTTATTATTATCTGATCGAAAATAAATAAATAATTTTGTAATGATGTAAATACCTGGGGAATAACTGCCTTCAGGACCTCTGCATTAACTTGAACTTGATCTACGTTTTCGTCATCATGAACGCTAGTACAGCAGGGTGCTAGGACACATATCTTAGAGTCTGATGATATAGCAAAATCTAAAAAAAGATACATACGTGTAGTGATTACAATAGAAGGGTTCTTTGGTATGAAGATTCGAATATATATATGAAATAAACGATTCCTGCTATGGAAGAAATTATGTGAACTTTCACTTTGAACTGTGTGAATTTAATATCAAAAACAGAAACCTTTGCCCGCTCGAAGTCTCACATTAGGAAGAAATTTGGATCCAAACTGCAAATCCATAAGTTCTCCTTTCAATTTTTCATCATTAAAATCAATAATACTAATATCGTTCGTGATTCCCTGAAAATTTTCACATTGATGTTATAACATAAATTCCAAATTAATTCCGGGTAAACAATCTATAGAAAATATATTTCTTTAAGGTTGCTCTTTTGTACACTCGACCGCAAATAAATCGGGTCACCCGGTAATATTTTCGAACCCTAATTCTATTCTTTCAAAAAGTATAAAACTTACAACTATAAAAATTAAACCTACAGAAAGTCACTGTACGAGTAGGTATTACTTTGATAGTTGTAAGTTTTATACTTCTTAAGAACATCAATCACAGTTCGAGGTAGTAAGTGACCCGGATTATTCGCTGTCCACTGTTTTTCTACGGCTCAAAGTTTTCAAGCGCCCTGTACCCTTAGCACGAAACAATATCACACTATCGAATTCGAATATTATGCGAGTCCGAAATGTCATTGTCAAATTTTCTATGAAAACTTGAACATTAGCGCCAAGAACGACGTAACAAGAACTAAAAATTGATAGTAAGATAAGATAATAGTAAGTAAGATAAGATAACAGATAGTAAGATAACAGTTAAGTACTAATAATAAAGAAAGCCCCGATTTCGAATAGAAACACATTTTGGAAGTAGAACAAAGTCGGTCCTAGATTCTCAGAAAAGCGATATCCAAGGAAATGGGTTGACTAAAAAAAACTAAATAGGTAAGTACTTTATACCTTCGTAAGCAAAGAAAAAACAGCCGCCATGCCTGTGTCCCCGGCACCTATGATGGACACTTTGTTGTTTGGTCTATAGGCAGTCCTAGTGAGACTACGGAACAGCTGGTCAAAAGTTGACTGGTACTCCGTTTTCTTAGGTTCACTCTTTCCGCTCTTCTGGTGGTCATCTATTGGTTTCTCGACACGAGCTTGCATTCGTTCATCTGGGAAATCAATATCAATTAGGTATAGTGATCTATTTTCTCTTGAGTTTCTTAGCTCCAAACTAGCGAGATCTGTCTACAGCGGATTTTAGATCGAAAACTAAGCTATTCCAATATAAGCATGAGCACCGCGATATGATATACCTATAATGCGTTTTTATCACACTCAATTGTCAAATTACTATGGAGTTTGACAATTAGACGCGATAAAAAACGTGATATAATGTAAATTGTAGTGCTCATGCTACTGGGGCTGGGCTAAAGTACGCCAGCTTAGATAAGATAAACTACAAATATATAAAAATCTTATATATAAAATTCTCGTGTCACAATTCACAATGTTAGTTACCATACTCCTCCGAAACAGCCTGACCGATTTTAAATGCATATTCCGTGGGTGAGAATCGGCTATTATCTATTTTTTCATATCCTACTGTATCGTAGTGTTCTGAAACCTACAATGCGCCTTCGCGCCAAAATTCAAACTATTGATTGTAACGTAGTGTTCTCATATGGGTTAGGAGGAATGTTATCCCAGGAAATTGATAGCACACTACGTTACACACCCCTAAATTTTTTTTGGACAATATTTTTTTATGATGTGGTATTAAAAAATACATACAACCCTAAATTTTCTCTTCTACCACCTGCCCCTATTTTTATGGCGGTACAAAGTTCGCTGGGTCAGCTAGTATCTATATAATAATAAACTAAAAACCGTGCACACTAAGAATTTTGAGAAAGCTCAGGCAGGCACGAAGGGATTGCGGGGTAGGCGAGAGGGGCTTAGCTTAGCTCGTGTAGCTGCGCATCGGCAAAACGTAATTAACTTAGTACACAAGTATGAAAAAATGCGTCCGCTATGCGAGCTAAGCTATACTTACAGATAAATAATAATAATAAATAAATATTTCCAATACTCGCACCAATTAGGTTAGTGTTATGTGTTATGGGATACTAGGGTAACGGATAGAATACATATACTGATACATATGATATAAGTATATTTATATAGAAATACATATTAAACATACATGACTGGAGTACAAATGCTCGTATTCATCACACAAACACTAGCCCCCTACCGAGATTCGAACCCGGCCTTGAAACCCGGCGTCCTAACCACGGCCATGGAAGTCGTCTGACCTCGATATACTAACGTAGCTTAGCTCTTGGCCTGCAACCCGGAAATACCTATGTTATCTTCAGAGGGACTTACGTGGTTGCAGTTCTTTCAATTGAGGTGTTGATGTTATCATGGAATTAATATGGGGCTTCATGTTGGGTTTTGGTTTGGAGCGCAAGTACAGCATCCGACTCAAGGTCTGGAGGTACCTACGCATTGTGAATCACTTTTTCACATAATCTCTGATGTCAAACGCTCTCGGAAGTGGTAAATATTTGTATATTTATTTCATCCTGTTTATTTTATATTCATAAGAGTTTCTGAGAGTAGAAAAAATATTGATGGCTTTTTATATGGTATGACAGTGTCTTGAAATCAAAGACAAACTGAATGAATTAATAAAATCTCTTTACTTGAAATAGTGCATATTAAAATAAAAATATATAAAAATTATGTCCCAACCATAGAGCAACGCGGCCTGTGTTGCTGTATGATCCCAACTCGAACCAAAAATTTGCTACATGGAGGGACCTCACTGTTATGGTTAAGCCTTAATTTAAAAAAAATTATGAACTGCTTAAAAAAACATCTGACTGAACTACAAATCGAACCCACTAAATATGTAAAAAATACCTATAATTTTTTGGTTCGTTTTAGAAGGCTTAATCGATTAGTTTTAGTACAATAATGACTCTTATTTAACAAAACTCTAAATTAAAGAAATACATTTATTAAAAACTACTGGGCCGCACTCGCTTCTCTTTGGTGTAGAGCTGTAGTGTAGACTATATTTTTGTTCTCAGGCTTGTATTATGACTCTTCATATAATAAAATTATAAACATTCCGTGAAAATTAGATATAATTACTAATATCATAAAACTGGAGAGGGTTCTTTTTTGTTGAACGCGTTATTCTCAGAAAATCCTGGTTTGATTTGGAAAATCACTTTTGTATTGGATAGTAAAAAACCGGCCAAGTGCGAGTCGGACTCGCGCACCGAGGGTTCCGTACAAACCTGCAAGGTTTACAAAGTTCGTTCATTACGACAATCGAGTCATAACTATGGTATTTTTATTGCAAAATGAAATTCATAACATTACAATGGGGAAAGATGGAGGAGCATAAATTTAAGACAAAGATCTCTTTATCGTTTAAGTAATCCTTTATTTTATATTAACACATATCATTTATCTATAATATAACTGAAACACTTATACTAGCCTTGCAGCAGACTTGCGAAAGTTCTTTTATTAAAGTTATTTATTTACTAAGTTTTTTAGTCACTATTTAGAAATCTGGTAAGTATTTGATATGAATTTCAACTTGATAGCTCTACGCGTTCATGAGGAAAAAAGTAATAAGTTTATATTTATTAAAATATATATATTTTGTAATGTAACTAAAAATTTAAGGTTTTCGGAATTTTTCCTTTATGTGTGCTATAAAACGTTGCTTCATGCCAAATTTCAAGATTCTAGGTCGACTGGAAGTACCCTTTAGGTTTTGATTCCCTTGCGAGTACTTGCGAGTTTCAAAATATGCAGCTTAAATTGCTGTTTCTTTTGATTGCGTTGACATAGAAGTTTGATTTTGTTACAGCTTAAAGGTATTATAGACCTGAGTATTTGGTATGAATTTCAATTTAATACCTCTACGCGTTTATGAGGAAATGGGTAGTAAGGTTAAAATTATTAAAAAAAAATATATTATGTGATGTAACTAAAAATTTATGGTTTTCGTAATTTTTCCTTTATCTATGCTATAAGACGTTGCTTGGTACCAAATTTCAAGATTCTGAGTTCACGGGAAGCACCCTGTAGGTTTTGATTCCCTTGCAAGTGTCGAAAATTTGCGGCATAAACGGCTGTATCTTTTGATTGCGTTGGCTTAGAAGTTTGATTTTTTCACAGCTTCAAGGGACAGTAGACCTGAGTAATTGATATAAATTTCAGCTTCATACCTCCACGCGTTCCTGAGAAAAAGGGTCTTGACAGACGGACGGACGGACGGACAGACGGACAACAAAGTGATCCTATAAGGGTTCCGTTTTTCCTTTTGAGGTACGGAACTCTAAAAAGGGGTAAAAATATTCTATTTGTGAGATAAAGTTACACAAAAATGATGTATGACGGAATTGTTCCCCTATAAAATTTCTATAAATAATAATATAATGATGTAAGTATATGTCTATCTTTTAAGTTTGACTCATTAGAACCTTTTTCCTCAAATTAACGTGGGTGAAACCGCAGGGGACCTCTTGTAAAAATATTACTGTAATAGTCAGACATATGGTATCACGAACTTTTTCTTAGATGTTGGTGTCCTCTATAAAACTTTAGTACATCACTTTGCTGTATTGTCTATGAGTTCCGCAGCGTACGCGATAAAAAGTATTTCTTTGGTATTTTTTTACACGTTGGGCTACATCATCTAAGTGTTCATACTGAACCCTAACTATTTTGTAAATACTCTATAGCCTATGATCATCAGGAATAATGTAAGATTCTAAATTTGAAAGAATTTTTCAAATCGGTTCAGTAGTTTCGGAGCCCATTCAATACAAACAAACAATCAAATCTTTCCCCTTTATAATATTCCGTTGGCCGTCTGGGGAAGTAACCTCCACCTTAACCTTTGGAACATACAAGATGGCGGACTAGTAATTTTTGGTGCACACCTACAATATGGGTATAAAATGAAGGGGCTTTCTGTGAATAACTCGAAAAATAGCGTGATTTAAAATATCGCGGACTTGAAAAGATGGCTGCCTAAGTTCTTTATGCATTCTATGATTATGCCAATCGATAACTAAAAAGTAAAACTCTTTATTTCAAACAAGCTTTAATAAAATGCACTTAAAAGAATATATATTTTTTAAAACTTTTACTATGAACTTACAACGCAACACTATTTATATAATATAAAAGCTTGTCGCCACTTTGTGTAGTAGGTATGTAGGTTCTGGTAATTACGATATGAAAATTAAAAAAAAATCAATCCGATCAAAGTATCTACACAGGTAAATCTCGCGACAAGCTATTATATTATATAAATTGTGTAATGACGTTGTAGGTTCATAGTAAAAGTTTTAAAGGAAATTTTTTATTAATTATTTTAGGCGCATTTAAAATAAAAACTCGTTTTAAATATAATAAAAATATGTTGTACTTATAATTTGTTTTAACGATTAGTTACACGTTAAAAGAAGCTTTTTCTGCTCAGATAAAAGGGCCTTTGTGAGATACCACCTGGCAAATAATTTTATGCAGTTTTATAACTTATATTAAAGACGGAAGACACATTTTTGTGTAGTACTAAGTAGGTCGCGTAGAGATGGTCTAATAATAAAGAGAATCAATGACATTGATCGTGGCATGCAATAGGACTGTCTTGTTCGTTATATTCGATCAAACAAAGCTGGAATGCTAGCAATGTGCAAAGCATCTGTATTAAACAATATTGATGCTATAATTTTTTAAGTTGATTTTGATTATATAAGTATCTAAAAATGTAATAAAACAACGATCTATAGATAAACATAGTCCAATTCGATTAGATACATTTTTGCTGTCAGTAACTATACTCATCAAAATTAAAATAAATTATAAGCACTGAGTAGTCTTTATAATTTATTTTGATTTTAAAGTTTGTCACCTCAGACGGAAAGAAGAGGAAGATTTTAAAATACTTTTTAACAAAAATAAAAATAAGAGTCATTTTTTTAAACTAGCAATCCAACTAGTCTACACACGGTAACAATATGGTTACATACAATTTGAATACTTATTGTATTTCTTTACAAAAACACCAATCCCAATTTATAGGTGTTTCCTGCCAGTTTTTTCAAACGAAAGTTTTCTTGAACATTTCGAGCGTTTTAAAATCATCAGTATAATGGATTAAGTAGTTCTTAAGGTGATAACATAACATAACATGATATATCATAACTGTGGCATTTGACTTGTACCTACTACTTATGAGACGGATTAAAAATCCCTTTTTGATTGAAAAAAAAAAATACTTTAAGTTTTCCGTACGATCATACTGTTATCGTCATCATAAGGATAATGCGTTGACTAGCCGGCCGGCTGTTCTGAGAAACGGTTTATGTAAATACTGTCAATAGTGGTGAAATCACATCACGAAGTGCATGGGGTCGAGAGCATTCCGACGGTGTGCGTGTCTGTACACACGTGCGCGTAGGCATCGCATCGGTGCATTGCATCTGCCCCACTACTTTGTACTCTAGGGAAAATACAAGCCCAGCTGATAGGGTCAGGCAAGAATAATTATTGTGGTATAACCCAAAATAACGTTTGAGGTGTCTAGTTAGTTTGATTTTTGAAAACACCCTTTGAACTGGTATAAGCGCACCTTATTTCATTTCTCTTTATCTCTCTTTTATTAAATTTGGTCGATCTGTCCTATGGGTGTCTGGAAGAAATGTCTATAAACAATTAGCGATTTCAATTATTGTCCTATAAGTAATGTTTAATGTGGGGTGCACAATAAAGTGCTATCCATCCATCTATTTCCTTCTTTTTTAACATTTGGACCGTAATAAAAATTGGTATAACTCTTCAAAAAGTGATTCATGAAATGATATATGTGCTTAAAAATATATGTATGTATATTTTAGGACAAATATTTTTGAAAATATTCAAAAGAGGAATATCATTTTTGTACACTCCAAACTTTATACTTAAACACGACCATTAATACTTGTCCGTTCAAATGTGAAAAAATCACGAAGTTTAAGTAGGTACTTAGTTATTCTCTGTCAGAGAGTGTCTGAGTCGCTGTCTGTATATTATCGCACAAAAAATTTGCCTCCTGACAACGACATTTGAAGAATACAACCGGTACTTACACGCGCTGAACGCGAACAGTGAAACTGCTCTGTGGGTACACGGCACTTATTAAATTGTAGTGTTAAACGCTTAGATTAAAACAAAAAAGCGGCCGCTTTTTAGATCATGGTGACCCACCACGCGGGCCCAGTACAGATTCATCATCATCCTATTAATATCCCCACCGCTGGGTCACAGGCCTTACCTATGGATGGAATAGGGAGATTGGGCCATGACCCACCACGCGGGCCCAGTACAGATTGGTGGGTGCTAACAACTACAGATGCAGTCGGCGCCTGCAGTTAAACGAGTCTTCCGAAATACGGGGAGGAGCTCGAGATAATAAATATTTGGTAACGTACCTGACGATCGGACATTGCGAAAGTTCCTTAACTTTCACGATCGTAGACCGCACAAACGTCATCGAGCTCCTCAATTCAATGTTTCAAAAGCAAATTCTAAATGTAACACCTAATTTATTTGGCTTAACTTCAGTCCATTTGTTAGCAAACCACTTGAATAAATAAGAATGAATTTATTTATTATATAAATCAGTTTTGCACATTAGCGTAAGGTATTTGGAAATTACATGTGAAAAGGCAAGTATTTCGTCAGACCGTGCGCGTCTTTATGATCCTTCACTGTTGGGTGACGAAACAGTAGGTATCAGGATCATGATGAAAGCGGAATGCAATCATTAAATATCTATTGAAAAATTTCTTATCGTAATATCCTTTCAATTTACCAAGCAACACTTACATATATTACACAAATGAGTACCCAATACTTGCTGACCCGGCGAATTTCGTTAACCCCATTTTCATCTGCCCGTTTTATTTATATAACGGTAATAATAATAAGTTTAATTTCTTTGTATAAGAATATCTATCCAAAGACTTAAAGTTTAGTTTAAGTCTTTGGATAGTCATATTATCTACCTAGGTACCAGCTTAGATTGTAAGACTACAAGAATGAGTTTTTTTTAAATATGTTTTTAAATGTGTGTGATAGCGGTTAGAAATTAAGAAACTTTCGCAATGGTCTCGCATTGAAGGGTGACCAAACATTTATTATCTCGAGTTCCACCGTGCTTCTGCAGTCGCTAGCACCCACCAATCCACACTGGGCCCACGTAGTAGGTAACGGCCAAATCTCCCTATTACATTTTATTCCATCCATGACATTAATAGGCTGGTGATAATGATGACACATATCAACTCGGAAAGGGATCGATACCGATTCACCTATCGTCTTACTTTCAAACAGGCGTCCACCTAACGTAAGCGGATAAGCAGTTCCAGTATGTTTTGATATGCTATGGAGGCAACGCCGCGCTTACGACTCGCCGACCGCTGGTTGACGGCTAGGCTGCACTGGTTCGATCAGCCATATAGAAAGTAACCATTCCGTTTTAAGAGTCAGCATTTCCTAAACCACTTAAAACGGAGTGGTTAATTTCTCTAGCGGAATGGCCCCAGTGAGAAAGGGCCTAGAGTAAGAATGAGCCCACTGCAGAATTAGCCCATTGTATATTGTCCCATTGCGGAATGGGCCGGATGTGTATGAACACAGGGCTCAGCGGGGAATGGGCCCAGAGTGGATGGACGTAGTGCGAAATTGGTGCAGTGCGGACGCTCCCGCTCCATCGCACACGCTCCAGGTACGCTAAAATTCCTCAAACTCACCAAACAAAATTTTAAACCAAGTCCACAATCACCGCCGTCACCAGACACGACAAGCCGGACTTGAGAAATCCTCGGTGGACATTTTTTTCAAGATTGAGGAACTTTGGTCCTTCGTCAGCACAGGCAATTATACATACCTACGTTTCTTAAATTTAGATAAATATATAGGAATTGAGGAGCTCGATGGCGCAGGTGGTTAGCGGGTTCGGCTGCGGTCGTTGAGGTTAAGCAACTTTCGCAGTGGTCGGTCATTGGATGGGTGACCAAAAATCTTCTATCTCGAGTTCCTTCCGTACTTGGGAAGGCACGTTAAGCCGTTGGTCCCGGCTGCATCTGCAGTTAGCACCCACCAATCCGCACTATGCCCCCATGGTGGGTCATGGCCCAATCTCCCTATTCCATCCATAGGGAAGGCCTGTGCCCTAGCAGTGGGGACAATTACAGGCTGATAATGATATTGGAATTAAAAAAATATCTAGAGGGCCAATCGCTGATATACGTGGGGGCCAATTATTGTACCTCGAGGGCCAATCACTATACATTTAAAACTTTTTCTGTTGATTTTGGAATATTTCTATAAGATTGAGCTGTTACATTTCTGGGATGGGTGAGCAAAAACTTATTATCCCGAGCTCCCCCGAGCTTCAGAAAACCCGTTAACCCTTTAGTCTTTTCTGCATATGCAGTCCTTACTGGTTGTCACGGCCCAATCTCCCTATTTCATTGATAGGGATAGGTAAGGCACTTGCCTGTGGCCCAGCAGTAGGGAAATTAATATGGTGAAGATGAGATGCTCGATGGCGCAGTGGTTAGCGCGTTCAGTTCATTGGAAGTTATGCACCTTTTGCAATAATAAAAACTTATTAAAGTAATAAGTAAAACCTATTTTTATACTTGGTTTTGTTTTTTGTTTGTCTGTATGGTCTATTTGTGATGAGTGCAAATAATGCGTTCATTTTAGAGTTGACCCACAGAACATTTAGATTCTGTGTTCTTAGGGACCGTTATGATTCCGTCATGATGTCCATCTGCCTACAGCTTAGATCAATCGATACGCTTTCCTTAATCTCTTACTAGAAACGGTATCTAGCGTGGATATTAAATATAGGTAATCATGCCAAGAAAGATGTAAAAGAAATTATTGAAAAATCTTTACCAATAACCTACAAGTAATTTGGTCAGTACCCTTAGCACGAAACAATATCAAATTCGAATAGTTTGCGAGTCTGAAATGTCATTACCTTTATAGAGTAACCTCTTTTTGAAGGCTTCCGACCAGTACTGTTTATTAATTTAGAATACAGATCTACTGACATAATATATGACTTTTTGTCAAAGTCGAATACAGATGTCGGGGTCGGTAAGTTATCAGGAAACACATAGTAATTTTCTCGACGATCCAAAAATATATTTTAATGGCTGGTCCTTAACTTTGCCACAATCATGAGTACATGGAGAATGGCCGGATTGAAGTAAGTAAAAAAAGTTTTAAGATTTGTCAATGTTTTGGAGGTGCACTTCGTGATAGAATCGTCGTCGTCAGTAGGAGAGGAGAGAACAATTATAACCTAACTACTTAATAATTAATCTTAAATGGGAAAAAGAATTGTCAATAGGTACCAGCGGCTTCTTTGATGAATTAAATATAGTTCTTACTTTGGCCACTCATTTAAAATCTATACATATATGTTCTCTATTATGTATTTAGGTGCATAAGTTTGTTTTATAAATAGTAACATTGATTTGTGGTTTTCTCCCGGTTGCAATGATGTAGAGGCTCAGAAAAGGACTAGACTAAGGCGCAAAATAGTTTACGAGGTTTTATGACATCTCGGGTCCTTTTACAGGTTCCGTGGGCATTGACTCGTGTATTTCGTATAAGAGATATGAATCATTGAGGTATACCTAACCTAAACTTAAGATTCTGAAAAAGTGTTCGGTTCTCTACGACAATAATTATGTATCTTAAGATAGTGGGAGTTAACTACTGTTCGGTAGGTTATATTGTTTTCACATAGTTTTGATTCTACTTTGTATTGTTTTAATTACAAATTGATTCTTCGTAGGTACCCAAATATTTTATGTTCTTTAGACAGACTAGTACGACAGTCTATATCTTGTTCTCTTTCTTCATAAGCCCGGTTCACCCATTGTCGGGTATACATTTTTGAGCAATGCAAGTGATTAGCAAATTTTTTTTGCGACCAATTAAGAGCACACAGATTTATTATTATTTCTCTAGCAGTAGAACCGCAAGTTCTAGGAAGTGACAAATAAGGAACGAAACTGTGCCATGAATAACGCAGATCGGTCATAATAATATTCTACAACACTAACAGAGTATGTTTTGAAACGAACCCTGCACTGAAATTATGGTCAAAACATAGGCTTTATATTATTAACCGTTCTTAATTATATGACCTCCAGCTAAGATCACATTGTTGCCTGACATCAGGTGCGACTATGCTCAAACGCACTCAAAACTTTTTAAAAAATCTCCTAATGTAATTTTATTCTTTCTAGCTACGTGAACTTTTCCAACATAGCGGCGCGTACATTACGAAAGTCGCTGAAGGCGAACCTGAGGGAAGAGGCGAGCAAGCGCGACCAGTCCGCCATTCGATACTTCTACTGGGCAGGCGGGGAACAACTGCGTACGTCTTTATGTATCATCAGTCTATTGTTTCCAGATCGTACCGCTTTTTCTTTCGCCTTTTTGACATTACAATGCCATTATAGTTCTTTAGAATACTAGTAGAAATACTTAGTTTGATATATTATAAAGGTTAGCTGATTAATAGTTACTCAAAACTCTGGATTCTCTGGAACTCGTGGTGGGTACTGACTCAATGATGTCGATTCTGACATGATAATCTTAAATTTGACAACAGTGTATTCTTGTCATTCTCTTTAAAGAATGAAAAGGAGAGACCGATGTCAAATTTAGTTTTAAGTTTAGAGAAGCATGCCAGAATCGACACCACTATCACATTCCATGCAAGGAAAGATTAGGGCACAATCTTTCCTGGCGACATGAATATGCTTGAGGTACAATAATTGAAAAGTGTGATTGCTTATAAACTTTTGCCAGTAGAATTATTTTAACATTTTTATTGCATTATGGGTTGGGTCTGGATAGTTGGGGGTCTAGTGTCCAGTCGTATCACCTTAGTAATCCATTGTGGCTAGTTCCGGCCAGTTAAGTCACGATTGCCTGAGCTCTAGGCGGAAATTTAATGTAGTTTAATATTTGTAGGACGTGAACCCGTGCAAAGATTATGACAAGGCTGATATTCGAAACGACCTACCTCCGCTTTTGGGAGCAGTCTTTTCGTCTTGTAATTTGCAATTATCTGCAAAGATTTCAATATGTTTATTACAAAATTATGTATGTTATTCGGACTGATCCGGAGTTGCAACTACCTACGTTTTTATTTCCATCAATTTACGGCCAGGTTCAATAATCAACCTCCAGTAAAAGGTAAGAATAATCTGGTTCCATTTCTTAGCAACGGCTGTTAGTAGGTATAGTCTTATGGCTCAATTACTTTCGGTCGTTAGTCCGTATTCGGGTGCACGAAAGACATTACTCGAACTCGGGCACCCGAAGCAATATTTACACTGGAATACGGAGTCGCATAAACAAAGCGAAAACTACCCAAATACGGGCGTACTCGACTCCATCCATTTACACTTAGTCGTTTACCCGAATTCCATTTGCACTCGTATTCGTGCTGACGATCAAGTGTTATCGCGCTATTAATAATAAAAATAGCCGAAGAACTCGAGTAGGCCTACTGCTGACTGGAAGTTTGATTATTGAAACTAAGCCGTTACAGATTATGTACAGAAACACTAAAGGATGTTTTTCTTAAGGTATTTGCAACAAATATTTTTTTAATTTATTTTCAGCGGAAGGGAAAAAGCCTGAACCCTCGGAGAAAGCCAAAACCTAAGTACATAGGCCGTTAATATGATAATTAATAAATGAAGTTTATAAAGTAAGGCGACTTTTCATGTAGAGAAAATGTGGTTTCCCGATAGAAAATCACCGTTCCGGGTGTGTGAAGCAACAAATTGCAATTATGTTTTCGTAATTTTACAGTCACACAAAAATGTAAACAAATCCTAAAACCTTACTTCAACGTCACTTAAAGTACATAGGTACTTGTGGCCCGCCCTCGCTTCGCTTCGGTGTAGAACTGTAGTGTAGACTATAGTTTTTGTTCTCAGGCGTGTATTGTACACAATGAATTTATTTATTTATTTCTTTTTCTATGATTCTTTTTTTATTGAATAACAATAATGTTAACTTTTTTAAATTAGGGATGAGTGAGAGTATTATAAACGTAAGAGTAAACAAATATAATCAGAATGCTCCGAAATGCTAAGCTATCAGGTGTTACACGTGTTATTGTGAGTCAACCATAAAAGATAGACATATGCTCTTGCGGGATATTTTTTTAGACAATTTTATGTAAAATATTTCCGTCATACATGATTTCTATGTAACTTTAACCATTAAGACTGCACACGCGACGGAAGCTTAAAAAATGGAGTAACTTCTCCCGTTTTCCCAACATTTCCCTTCACTACTCTGCTCCTTTTGATTGCAGCGTGATAAAAAGTATACTATAACCTGCCCAGGAGTATGAAGAATAATTGTACCAAGTTTCGTTAAAATCCGTCGAGTAGTTTTTGTTTCTATAAGGAACATACATACAGACAGACAGACAAAAATTTTACTGATTGCATTTTTGGCATCAGTATCGATCACTAATCACCCCCTGATAGTTATTTTGAAAATATATTTCATGTACAGAATTAACCTCTCTACAGATTTATTATAAGTATAGATTATAAAAAACAAAAAAAAACGAAGTTGGTGAAGTCGTTTTCAAGTTAAGGCGTGGAGACTGTGTTACCATAAAGCTATTTCGCCTTTTCCCCAAATGTTACACGGAATACCCCTAAAATACAGGTTTTTAAAGAAAAAGCCCCCCAACAAGAAAATTATTTATTAAAAATACAATATTTACTACATAATATGTATTTCTGCACTAATTACGATTTAGCAGAGCAAAGATGATAGATAGTGTCGAATCGATTTGCAGTTTAAGCGAACGACCATTAACGACTGACTGACTTGCTTGTCTCGACATGGACTTCACTGAGCGAGACGGGTTGGACCGACGATTTTTTTTATGTGGGCTTTGGACTTAGAGGTCCGAATCCGGAATCCATGATTCAACAACAACAACACAACAACAATCTATCTTTGTTATGCTCTATACAAAATGAGAAAGAGAGACTATTGATCGACTATTGATCGACTGTTCGCGATTTTACAGATCAAAAGTTTATGAAGTGGTTTTATTTTTAAGTAAATAATGTAATTAAAACCCCCCATTTCCCCCAAACCCAAATTTTATTTTATAATTAGTCCCTCCAAAATATTTTCCACCCAAAGCTTTAAAAACCCCCTTTGGGGGGAATCCCCCCAATCTGGCAACAGTGCGTGGAGATCTAGGATTCATTTTAGCAAACAGGAAACCTTATCCTTTCGCCATGTCCGATTTTTTTTTACTTTTATACAATGCATAAAAGCCTTTTTTTAAATAAAAACAAATGTGAATTCTTTAAGATATTTTTATTTATATGTAGTACAAAATTCACTTAAATCTATTTAATTTTTTTCGAATGTTTTCTCACTAAAGCTATTATTAGCGCCAGTTTGATAAAAACTTTGAAGATTGTACCTAGAGTAGACGGTATTTACTATAATTATTTTAGTAAAAAATAAACAATAGTATTAAGCCTCTTAATGTGTATTTCGTTTGAGATACATTTCTTACTGCTCTAAAATGCCCCATATACGGTACGATTGATCTTTACGATATGTCGTTTCAGACCGATCGAAACGACGGATGGATTGTGTATGTCAAGCTAGCTAACTATTTACTTTATCGGAGATCTCAAAAATATCGCAACAAAAATCTCTGCAATCATGAATAACGTTACGATGAATCTAAAGTGTATAGCTCTTTACCATCAACGATTCAATTTAGTCTAATTCTGACGCTAGCTGCTGCACATAACTTGGCTAGTGCGTTAATATTTACACGCGAATACTGAATCAAAGATACTGTCATGGAAGGAAAGGTAGTAAGGTAATTGTTCGGGGCACGTATGATATTATTACAGCACGTCTGTAACCTTCCGTTTTAAACAAGGTCATAATGATTGTTCGTTACGACCATATCGTTTCGTGTATGAAGTGGAATTTTGCAAGGATCGATTGTTACGACTTCCGTCAGATTGATAGAAACAACGGATCGTACTGTATATGGGGCCCTTTAACCTCTTGAAAGGAAAAACGTTATATTGAGCAAGATCGACCCGCAATAAGAAATTAGCTAGTTATATTATTTGTATGATGACGTAATACAAGCTAGGATACAAAACACCTGATGAATAGGACATAATATAATAAAAAGACTCAGTATAACCTTCATCTGGATTAAAAAAATCATTTAAGAAATATACAGAATTAAATATATACAACAATAATAATAATATCACTAGACATATATATTACATCCATAAATAATACCATCATCAGGAGATTTCACAGTTTACTATAATAACAATTTTCAAATCTGTTTTTTTTATATTAAGTGTTAGTATGAGAATTAATTATATAACACATTGAATGTCGCTAACTTGGAATTATATACTATACTTTATTTATTAAGATTTAACAGTTTTCTATAATCACAATTTTCAAGTCTGTTTTTTTTATAAATAGTAAGTATGAGAATTACTTATATAACACATTGGACGTCGCTAACTTGGAATTATACAATATATTATATTAATTAATGGGATTAATGGGCCGTATGACATTTTAGTCGCTGCAGAATTCAGATCTAGGATGCCTTTAGATTTTCCTAGTCGTGCGGCAAAAAACTTGCATACAAAAAATTGAATTGGGTTTAGACTATGTCCGCCATTCAGGCTATTTGCCAAAGTTCAAAAGCAAGTGCCTTTGTTTGTCTTATTAATGTTTGAAAATGTAAACAGCTGCTTGTTTCACTGTGAGCTTATAAAGCCGACAGATCTGGAATTAATAGTTATTCAGCTATTACCATTATTTTAATTAATATTTAATAATATTTTACTTTATCGAAGTTTTCAATTTATATACATTAATGGTTTATAATATTATATTGATCCTTTTATATTAAACAGGCTCGATGTTTACCAAATATGCGACAACTAATGATTTTTAAACTTTGAAATATAAATATAAAGTACTACAAATATTAGATAATAATAATAGGTACATCATTATTTATAATTTGCAAACTTAATTGCATCTTAAAATTAAACAACATTATCTGATACAATATCAATTTTGAGCAGATTTAAGGATAAAGTTTAAAATAAATTTAAAAATCTTTTGCTTATATTTACAATTTTCATAGTTAATTGATAAGAAATTTAATATTTTTTTAGATACGTAAATACGTGCAAATGCACCACAGAGCTAAAACAAAGTTGTGTAGCTTTGCGCTTCCAAATATGTTTGCGTTTTGGAATAAATTAATTTTGTTAAGTTAACCATTGAGGCTCACAACGAAATAGTGTTTTTAGCAACCATTTTTTAGCACTCTCAACAAAACGGTTTCGTTCTTACTCAAACTTAGCAAAAAACGACCCATTAAGTTTTATAACTGATATAACATAGTTATATAACACCAAGCGTTGTGTAGTTTTGCTCTAATCATGTTACAAACTTCTTTCATAATACATATTTAAGTGGAATTTCTGTGGCTGTATATTTTTAAAGACACCCACAATTCTATTCAACCCCAAGTTACGGAGTGCCAAATAATTAAGATAATGCAGATACGAAGAAATAAAGCCACTTCTTTTTATTCTCTCGTGAATCGAAGCGAATGTTAGCAGCTCCGTAATCGTATCGCTACGTCAATGTTTCAAAGAAAACTAAACCCTATCAGATTTAAGAACAGACTAGCTTTTTCCATACAAAATTTGACGATGACGATAAGATTACGGAGCTGTCAAAATTCGTGCTTCGGCCTCAGTATTCACATTATTTTTACAAATTTCATAAACTTCAATAATATCAGCATATCTGACTTAACGAATGACAGCCTTCTTAGGTACTTATGTAAAGAAACTGTTTTTTTTTTTACTAAAGTGTGAATAATTTACACTTAAATATCTAAATTCACATTGATTGTTTTGACACTTAATAATACGTACATATCAGTCCGGGAACGGCGAAAGATGTGGTCTAGGGCGCTTCCGCTTCTGTTTTGACTACCTGAAAATAAAAGATTTATAAACCAAAAAAAATCATTAAATTATGGCTCCTATTAGAGACGAGAGATTAGGAATCAAACAGAAAGGGTTTCGCTTGGTAACTAAGAGCGTAGTTTATTCTTATTTATATCTTATATACCTACTAATTTTCCGAACTAGTATTGATGTGCGTCAATTTCATTTACATTTAAATATCTAAATTCACATTGTTTGTTTTTAATCTTAATATAATACTTACAAATCAGTCCGGGTACGACGAAAGATGTGGTCTAGGGTGCTTCCGCTTCCGTGTTGACGACCTGAAAATAAAAGATTAATAAACCTAAGAATTATTTAAATTTTGACCCCTATTAGTGACGAGAGATGTGGAATCAAACAGCCACGGTGTCGTTTGGTAATTAGAGCATAGTTTATTCTTATTTACATCTTATATACTAATTTTCCTAACTAATATTAATGTGCGTCAGTTGTGAACCGCGGGTTCTGCGTGTTCTGGATTTCAAATCCACGCTGACGTTATATAGGACATGGTAAAATTTTGTATGAGCGACTTCCCTTGCAATGTATAAATATTTTACTTCGTAATATTTAATGCTGAATGTTTATATCTATGAAAAAGGCTCAGGAACTTTTGATAAAGTCAATCTTGAAAATTATGAGAACTCCTACTATGTCATAACCTTGCTACATTTGATAAAATATGTTGCCAATTATTTACAGAGCCATCAATTGCGCATTTTCTTAGGATCCTTCCTCCCATTTCTCTGATTAAATTCAAATCATTTATTATTTGGACAACATAGATCCATGTGTTAGTATACAATACTTAATACTATATTAGTAAATTATATTAAAAACAGATATAACCCTATTTACAAAAATATTTATCAGTGGACAGTCCCCACGAGCCACTAAATCCCTCACAACACTACTGCGGCTACCACGAACCCGCCGTAGCCGTAGTGATTAACACTTCACAAAAAGTGTATCTAATGCAAAAATAAATACAAGTAATTTGTTGTCATCGGCCTGACAGGAAGTCTGTGAAGTTTTATTTTGTTCATTTGCAAAATTTAAATGATTAATTATCATACATCCTTGTCTCAAGCATGATCAGAATAATAAAATCTACTATTGTAGACCTTCAGTGATTTGTAATAATAAAAATTAGGGCCAAATACACACATCAAAAGTGTCTAGGGATCAAGCATTTTTATGCGGATTTCTTGAGATTGAGATGTGGCTTTGTAATAAATTTATGATTTTATAAATTTATATGGATCCTTTTTGGTGCATTTCATAATTTGAATCAGGAACTGTGAATCAAATTCGAGTAAAAGATGAAAATCAGCTGTCAATATTTTCCCTATAAAAACATACAACGCATTGAAGACATTATTAGTGCTACTGTTTCCCTACTACTGATTAAAACCAACGTTATTATGGAGCGGCGACGTCATTTAAGCAGGGAAGAAATGCTCAGAGCCGTGGGAATGATAGAAGCTGGTTCCCGGCAACGTACTGTGGCTTTAGCTCTGAATACAAGTCAGAGTGTTATCAGTCGACTTTGGACACGATACCGAAGCACTGGTACCGTGGCTGAGCGCCATGGAGGACGGTATCGCTGCACCACACGGAGACAAGACCGATACATTCAAATCTTAACTCGAAGAGCTCCAACAATAACCGCCATGATGTTAGCCGTGAGGCTTCATCACTCTTCAGGGAACTTAATTAGCGACCAAACAGTCAGAAACCGCTTGCATGAAGTGAACCTTCATTCCCGAAGACCGCTACGGGTACCACCTATAGCAATGCACAATCGTAGGATTCGATATCAATGGGCTCTTGAACACAGAAATTGGGCAGAAGAACAATGGCGTTTCGTGTGCTTTTCTGATGAGTCTCGTTTTGGTATGAGACCGGATACAAGACGTATACGACACTGGAGAACCCCTGGACGCCAACAGCGATTAAAATCCTGCCAGGAAGTCCATCCTTATAGTGGTGGAACCATCATGGTATGGGCGGGTATTTGGATCGGCGGAAGAACTGAGTTGATTTGGATCAGAGGCAACCTCAACGCTCAAATTTATGTTGAGACGATTGTATCAGACGTCATCGTTCCTCTACAAGTGCAAATCGGTCCCTTATTTCAGTTAATGCATGATAATGCACGACCGCACACCGCAAGAGTTGTAAGACAGACTCTCGCCGCAGCTAACATCAATGTCCTGCCCTGGCCTGCTCAGTCGCCAGACTTGAACCCGATTGAGCATGCATGGGATATGCTACAGAGAAGAGCTCTGCCGAATATGGAGGGTATCCAGTCGCAAGAAGACCTTTTTTTGTTGTTGCAACGAACATGGGCGGCCATTCCACAGCGTGATTTGGATGAACTCATTTTGAGTATGCCAAACCGATGTTCTTGTGTTGTTAGTGTTCGCGGTAGAAATACGGATTATTAATTGTTTAAGTTACCCAATAAAATTTTAGAGAAAACTGTTATTTCAGTCTTTTTTTCGAACTTTTGTGTTAGTGGTTCAAATGTCAAAAATCCCTTTATTAGGAAAATGGCAAATTTCTTTATTAATGCAAAGGTGACTTGGTTTATCGTTACTGTGACAAACGAAAACACTTTATTTGATGAATCCTTAAAGAAAATTTTAATTAATATCAATCAGGAGAAAAGTTATTGCAAAAATATATGTTGATCCCTAGACACTTTTGATGTGTGTATCTTGCTTGTCATACTTTTAAGGAGTTTAGAATTAATATTGTTTATTTCGATATACTTACAAAAATAGTCTTTGTGTACATTTTTTGTTCATTTATTTTTGTAAAACGGAACATTTTCCTTTTGAAACAGACATGAAGTCAATTTTCATACTTTTAAATATTTGATTATTTCATGAAAGTTGTATGACAATAATAAACACGTGATAATTAATAAAAAAATATTATAATGTTACGGGCTAGTGCAAAATAATTATACACCTTAAGGGCAGTTTCTTAGCTATGTTCTTTATTAATTATCTATACTCGTATTTTAAATTGACGACCTCCGTGGCCGAGTGGTTTATACGCCGGGTTACATGGTGTCGCCGACTCGAGAGGTCCCGAGTTCGAATCCCGGTGGGGGCAGATGTTTGTATGACAAAAACTAGCATTTGTACTCTGGTCATGGATGATTAATATGTATTTCTATATAAATATATGTACTTATACATGTTCAGTATACGTATTCTACCCGTAACCATAGTATCCCATAACACACATAGACCAGGGTCGATAATTTAAAAAATGGTAAAAAGTGAAATAAAATAGTAGGATGAAACCCATTGGAAAAGGTAGAGAATATAACAAAAATGAAAGGAAAAATAAATTACTGGCGATCTGAGGTCGGAAAGGGGGAAGGGGTGATTATTTCCGGGAAAAACTTACCTTTGTATATCCCAAACATGCAGTAATTTTTTTGATTAAAAATATTCATTTTATCACCTTATTTTGACTTAATGACGAAAAAGCATCCTAATTTTCAATCGAAAATTCTCATGTCAAAATATCTGGTATTTTAAAAAAGTTGGTGTGTTTTTTGTTTGTTGAAATCTCTACTTTCTGATGGTATAAAAAATATACACTACTATGGTAAATGTTCTCAGAAACTGCAAATTAATAATGAAAAAAACTCTGAATCCGAAAAATTTTTGTTAATCATTATGTATAATTTTGAGCTATTTATTAAAATTTACACTTTAATTACTCGAAAAACGTGAGATTTCATGTTATATTGATGAACAAAAAAAATTACAAATCCATAAAACATGCAAAAATAGTTTTGTAAATATTAAAAATTGGATTTAAAAAGGATTTCATCTAAAAAATGTGACTGTTGATTTTTTTTCTGTAATAAAGTTGCACTCAGGTATATAAGTAATCTTAAAATAGCAATAAATAGCTAACTACGCATATAATTTAAAGAAGATTCGAAAACTTTCTCAGAATATTGTAGATATCTTATTAAATATTAACTTTATGAATTTATTTCGTTGTTAATTAAAGTAGTATATCTCGATTAGCAATTTTTTTGTTTATCAATATAACATGAAATCTTACCTTTTTCGAGTAATTAAAGTGTACGAGACGACCGCCTTACGACCGAAGCGAGAAGAAATGAACTTACGACAATATGAGATTAATGTAAAAAATGTATCTATAATTTCACATGAATCGGTTGTATACGCATTAAAAATATCATTCCCTTGTTGTCTTATTAGAATGAGTCGGATATCGCAATAATAGATAGCTCTGCCCATAGTAAACCATTGTAAAATTGATAGTTCACAGCGATATTCCGCCCCGTTCTCTCCAATAATCTTATAAGACTTTATCTAAACGATCGCCACGACGCCAAGCGGTGGCGCGGGGAAACTAGTCAGAATACTGATAGTTCCGACCTATAGGAGGGACGGAGACAATAGGTTGTCCTTGTCTCACATCTTATAGGATTTTGCCTGAGTTGACAGTTTTCGATAATAGTATGTTTTATGTTTTGATTGATTTATCTTATGTCTTATTAGAAAGTAGGTAGTCATAGGAATAATATATCGAAGTTTTGTATGAATCGTGTTAGTAGTTTAAGCGTAATTAAGGAAAATATTGGGAATAGTTTTTTACGAATAGTCAATAGGATATAGGTATAATTGTTATAATAATGATGTTGTATCGTACCGTGTAGGAGACAAAACATGTTTGTATAGAACCGTTTTCTGAGACATGTTGCGCTCCCCACCCGGCGCGCCCGGAGCGCGCGGGTGGGGCAGCGAAGCCCCGTGGCAGGGCGAAGCCCTATGGAGGGGGAAAGTATAAATATTGCGGAGACCTATTTTTTGCGCGCCACACCTAAAATATCGTGTTTACGGACACATAACTGTGTTAAAAATATGCCTAAATGTATGCCCGATGTATGTACAATTAGTTTTAAGCTCGCACTATTGTAATTTTTGAGAAAATGAAAAATAAAGTATAGCGTGGGTGAGGTAATGGATCGCTGGCCAGCTCAGTCCTAGCATATAAAATTCGAGTCGGAACATGCTCCGACATGCATTCAGCGACAGGCGCTCCTACCCTAAGGAACAGGAAGAAACAATCAAGCGGGTCACTCTGGACTTGAAGCCTCCTCTCACCGGCCATCCATTATCAGCGCCCACCGATTTCTTCAATACCGAACACCAGGGGTTTTATTCGCCGAAACTACAGTCCACTACAGTCAAGACTCCTGCGTGTAACTTCCTCCACCCCCTCAGTACGAGTCGGTAACTGTCCGCTACTGCGACAGCCCGGCGTCCCGTACATAAAGTGTAAATTTTAATAAATAGCTCAGAATTATACATAATGATAAAACAAAAATTTTCGGATTCGAGTTTTTTTCATTATTAATTTGCAGTTTCTGAGAGCATTTACCATGTGGTGTATATTTTTTTATACCATCAGAAAGAAGAGATTTCAACAAACAAAAAACACACCAACTTTTTTTAAAGAAGCAGAAATTTTGACGTGAGAATTTTCGATTGTAAATTAGGGTGCTTTTTCTATATTAAGTCAAAATAAGGTGAAAAAATAAAGTTTTCACCAAAAAAATAAAAATAAAAAACAATAAACTCGGTTATTCGAATTTTTCACATAAATTTTGAGGTTATGTGAAAAAAGTGTCGATACAAAAGTTGTAGATCTTTTTATTACCTACAACTTCGCCATTTAACTCTTTTTCATAGGACTGGCAGTTTTACCGGAAACACTTTTTTCATAGGATAGTTTTACCGGAAATCGAGATTAACCGTTTTTTACCCTTAAAAACTCATCCCCTCCCCCTTTCCGACCTCAGATCGCCCGTAATTTAATTTTCCTTTCAGTTTTGTTATATTCTCTACCTTTTCCAATGGGTGTCATCCTACTATAATTTTTTTTGGTCTCAAAAATTATCGACCCTGGTCTAACAAGCCTTACAGTGCTTACTTTGGGGCTAGGCTATTTGGTGTTTATAAAAAAAAAGTGTGGTGTTCCATACTCTTATATCAAATAGACTCTGTCTGTTACCTCTTCATGCTTTTAAACCACTGAACCAATATAGATGAAATTTGGCATAGAGATGGCTTGACGACGCACGTAGGACACAGGACAGTTTCGTTATCATATTTTAGAGGGGTGAAAAGGGGAATATGGTAATATTGCTTCGTTGTTTTTTAAAAAAGCTTACGATATGTAGGTAGTGTCTTTATTTATTGACTGATATTAAATTTTAGAGTTAGCGTTATCGTTCGAGCTCATGCTACTTGACTAGATTTCATTGCCACTATTTTAAACTCCAAGGCCCACTTGCGGCGAATTTGGTAAATCACGATTCAACTAAAACTAGCCTCTAATCAATAGAAAAATGTCAAAGTGAAATTCACGTTTGGAGATTTTTCTATGGTATATAATATACATATCTAGTTTTGGTCGAATCGAGATTTAGCGTATTTGCTACAAGTGGATCTGAAGCCGTTGCTCCCGGTTGCATCCTGCAGTCGTTAGCACCCGCCAATCCGAACTGGGCCCGCGTGGTGGGTCATGGCCCAATCTATTCCATCCACAGGGAAGGCCTGTGCCCCAGCAGTGGGGACATTAATAGGCTGATGATTGCGATACCTCACTATCCGGTTCCTCTTGCGGCGGTTGCCTGCAGCCGATCTTCGGCAACAGACCATTGTACTGCGCCATTCCCAAGATCAGAACTCCGAAACCGATCAGATGTTGCCAGTGGAAGGACTGCCAGCGGACCGCCAGTGATACCATCCACACTACGAAAGTCCTGCAGGAAAGAACATTAAACCCGATTTGTTGTTATCAAGTAAGATTTTTTTGTGTAATGAATCCCTATTTCGCTTGTTGTTTGCGCCATAACTTTGGATTTTTTTACGGTAATAAAATTTGAGACTAAACTTATTCTACAACATTAATCGATAGGTGGCGCTTAGTGGTTTTAGGATATTTTAATATTTTTTTGAGCAGAGGAACTGCAGTTTTGATGTGGCACAGCTTCAACAACAGAATACAGAAAGAGGTAAGAAGCCCCCACTACACTTTCATCTAATAGATAATAGCTATAGTCCATTCACATTGGCGTGGGACAAAATGTAAACAAACCATAAAAACTACTTTTTAAGGTCACTTTTGGCAAAAGTAAAGATTAAATACTATTTACATAGGAAATGCAGTGAAACATTAAGTTAATTATTTTAAAAGCTGGAACACATATGAATAAGAAAATTAAATATTTTACACATATTTAACGTACATGTCCAGATGCCGCGTTGAGAGTTTGGCTTTGACCGTTATTGCGCAGAAGTCAGAAATTGGGTATCAGAGGGGAGGGCCGCGGGGCGGGTGTGTACAGCGCGGCGCCCTGATTGGTGTCCCAGTCGTTCTCTGCCTCTCGCACCGATACCACGTCCCACGCACTCTGGTGTACATTCGCGTTCACAACTGATTTGATATTTTTGTTATTGTTTGTTAAGTTTTTTTGTTAAAGTTTTTCTGTTAAGTTTTTGTTAAATATTTAAAAGTGAACTAAACATGCGTAAAAGAAACATTGTTTTAAAAAGACAGGCACGAAAAATGGTGTATGACGTACATTGTTATTTAAAGAAAGAAGCTGACGAATTTATAGATTCTTTGAAACAGATTCGTAATCAGATCGAAGAAGCCGCGGATACTTTACTAACTCCGTCGAACATCACGACCTTAAATTTAAACTCGATTACACAAACTGCTGAAGTCATGAAAAAGGAAACTGTTACTAAATTAAATTGTGTAATCAGTGAATTAGGTAAAATTCAAAAACGAACGTCAGAGGCCACAAAAACTTCAATTGGGACTGTAAAAAATATCTCAACTCAAGGCAAGAATTCAGACTTGATTATTACATTTAGGACACCCGGAAAAAAACGTCCAAGGTCTAAACCAGTTACTAACATCGACAATTTCGACCAAGGCGTTATAAAGAGATGTATACATAATTTTCACAAAACTAATAACGAACTTCCCACGATAGGAAAACTAAAAAGAAAGCTAGAGGATGATATAAACTTTCAGGGCTCAGAAACAAGCCTTCGAACTATTGTCAAGGAGCTAGGATTTCGGTGGAAAAAGACGGAAAACAACCGTAAAATATTAATCGAAACATCAAACATCAGATTACAACGTATCGAATACTTACGTAAAATTAAAAAATATAGGGAAGAGGGAAGGCCCATTGTATATACGGATGAATCCTGCGTAGATTCATTGCACTCTACAACCAATGCTTGGAGCGATGGTCCTACGGAGGGCATCAAAAAACCGATATCAAAAGGACAACGAGTGGTGATAGTCCACGCAGGATCAGAAACTGGGTTTATACCGAATTATGAGAATTATGAAAAACGGCTCAGATCTCAATTAATACCAAAACTACCACCCAATTCTGTTGTGGTAGTCGACAATGCGTCCTACCACAATAAACAATGGGATCTAGCACCGACCTCAAATTCAAAAAAAGCGGACATGCAGGCCTGGCTCACAAGTCACAATTTATCTGTTTATAAATTATGATGCATCAATGCTAAAACCCCAGTTATACGGTTTGATAAAAGCTAATAAAGAAAGATTCAAAACATTTTCAACTGACCAAATTTTGGCAGAAGCAAACCACAGCATATTAAGACTGCCTCCTTACCATCCAGACCTTAACCCGATGGAAATGGCATGGGCTACTATTAAACAATATGTGGCTAGTAGAAATGTAAAATAGAATATTACAAAATGTACGGAACTCATTAAAGAAAAAGTTTCGCTTATGGGTGTTCAGGAATGGGAAAAGTTATGTAAAAAGGTGAAAGATATCGAAGAAGAATATGCGAAGAATGACCACGTTATTGATTTATTAACAGAGCAATTTATTATTCGCGTCGACGACAGTTCCGACGACGATGAATCTGATGATGATGATGATGACAACTGCGACCTGGGAAGCCCTGAGCCCGAACCCTCAACAAGCAAAAGACGTTGCACAAGCTCCTATCAAGACAGCTCCGCTGGAGCTAGCTGTGATTTTATGGATGGCATCAAACCATTATCTGACTCAGATTAAATAAAATATTTTATAATAAATATTCTTTTTTTTTAAGAATTCATAACACCTGTCAATTATGTTTATCAAGTTCGTATTATTTTCTAAGCATTATAACTACTCACCAACATGCCCGGTCAGCGCGATGTATTACTTACGACCCATACCTACACCTTCCTATGGGTGAGTGAAGGCCTGTGCTCCAATAGTGGAAACATTTAGACAGGTGATGACGATGACTTTTAACAGTTAAAAATTACGGTACATTGTCACTTAACATCCAGGACGTCCTATGGCTAAAATGATGATGATGATGATTAACACAGATTTATTTTAACCGTTATAACAATTTTAACTTTTATTGTAACCGCTTCAAAACTAGTTTTATTTAAAACGATATACGAGTAGGTATTTTTGTATGTCAGCTTAATATTAGTACAAATATTAAAGTTATACAAATATCTATACAGATAGGTCATAAAAAAGAAGAGTCTTGTGTGCGTGACAGTATCCATGCGCAGTAATCCCCTCCACTCGACGGTCAAAGCCAAACTCTCATCACGCGAGCTGTACACATCATAATTTCGTATGTTTTTATTTTGCTGATAAAAGTATTTTAACAACTAAGTTACATGGAAAAAGACCTAAAAAAATTATCATTCCCAAACTTAAAACGTATTATAATACGACAAAAGAGAGAGAGAGTAGACATGATAATAAGTGTTTACGTTGAAGTGTTGTGTTTTGTAATCGGTTGGTTTATGTCAGCCATCTTTACTCAGGTTGATCGACCTGTTGACGCAAGCGTGCATATTCTATCTTATTTGTTAAATTCCTGTTATTTCCTTGTTTTATTTGTAGAGTTCGTTGTTTTTATTTTTACTGTTAAGTTTAAAGTTCTTAGTAAATTATAGGTTGCATAAATTATACTTAATCATTGACTAGTAGGTGCTTTTGGACATTATAAATGTTTTAGAACCTCAGATTCTTTGTTTACATTTTGTCTCACACCAAAGTCGTCACATCAAACGACGCGACATCAAACGAACGAACCAATTAGCGCTCACGGCCGAGAGCAACGACGCAATCAGAACCAGGTTTTGGTCAAGTTATGATAATAGATAATAGTCAATCAAACGACGGGACATAAAACGAACGAACCAATTAGCGCTCACGGCCGAGAGCAACGACGCAATCAGAACCAAGTTTTGTTCAATTTGCAGATGAGCTGCAGTTTAGATGTGACACAATTTTAACCACAGAACACAGAAAGAGTTAAAAAGGGTGATTATAGTCTGTCTGTATACCGATGTCGCCGACTCGCCCTCATTACACTTTCACCTAATAGATAATAGCTTATGTCATAACTTGACCATAACTTTGTTCTGATTGCGTCATTGCTCACGGCCTTGAGCGCTAATTGGTTCGTTCGTTTGATGTCGCTTCGTTTGATTGACTGCTAGATATTATCTATCAGGTGAAAGCGTAATGGGGGCGAGTCGGCGACATCGGTATCCGTACAGACAGACTATGATCACCCTTTTTTAACTGTTTCTGTGTTCTGTGGTTAAAGTTGTGCCACATCAAAACTGCAGCTCATCTGCATTTGACACATAACTGTGGCGCGCCTGCCACAAGGCCTTTCTAACCTCTTTCTGTGTTCGGTCGATTTAACCGATGTTGCACTGATATCACTCGTTAGTTCTAGCTACTCGGCACCAGACCACATATGGCAGTGCGATTCTATTACAAACGATTACGCCAAAGTTACGTGAACGCGTGAAAAACAAGATGCTTAGTTACTAGGTTGAATTGTTTTCAGTTGTTGAAAGTTTTGTACTGCATACTTAATGCATTAGATTTTTTTATACACAATTATATTTACCTTACTGAATCTAGGACCATCCTGGTGGTAGCTGACATTTCTTTGGTAACGCTAATGCCGGCAAAGTTGAAAAACGCTATCGATATGATAGTACCCACAAAGGCGATGATCAAAATAGAACTGTTTCCTGTAACAGTAAAATTAATAAAATTCAATTATTTAATTCATAAAACATAATTAGGTAAGTAGGTGGGTACTCAGGTTGAAATGAGTAAGGAGGAGTCCGGGATAACTCCGCTTCGCATCTCATGGTGGGCGGAGCACAGCGTCGCCAGTTTTTTTTGCCAAGTCAGGATTTAGGTACTTTTTGAGTGGAAAAAGCGAGATTCTTTCGTCAAAAGCGGGACATGTGCCACCCGCCCGCGCTTTCTACAGAGAAAGCTGTACGCACGGTCGAGTTATTCCCGAAAAGCGGGACTGAGTCTGTCCCGAGCGGAAAATTTGATTTAAAATTTGGGATGTACGTATAGAATTTTCCAGACATCAAAATAAAGGGGTACTCAGGTGGTTTGTTATATTACATTTTACACATGAGATATGTTTTTTCCCGTTCATGTTATAAGAATAGATAGAAAAGAGATAAAAATGGTGAGAGGGAGAGAGAGGCAGAGAGAGAAATTAAAATTGTGCACTATTCAATTTGATTGTTTAAACCATAAAACATAGAAAGAGGTGAGAAGGGTGATAAGAGATCGTTTGTATGAGAACCGATGTCGCCGGCCCGCCCCCACTTCCATCTAATAAATATATCATAAGCCAATCAAGCAACACGACATTAAACAATTGCACGTATCAGCGTTAACACCAGTCGGTGTGAGCTCTGATTAGTTCGATGGTTTGCACTAGTGGTTGACGTGGCATTCGATGAAATATTATCGATATTAAATATACGAGTTAGGTCTATCTTGATTAAAAGGTATTTTTGTATCCTGACAAAGGCTGAAAAGACAATAAAACTAAACGCCATGCAGTTATAAACCATTATTAACAGGTATGTGAACTTGACTATTGATACTTATTTATTGGCCTTAAAAAATGTGAACGTATTTATTTATAAGTTGGCGCTTTGTTTCCTTTTCTAAGTTTTTATTTCAAAACCGTCCTTATGTATATTGCTCTTAAAAATTTTTTAGGTGGAGTATTAAATGACTATAAATTTATTTCATGTAGATATACATTTATCAGGGATCAGTATTTATTTAACAATTATTTTCATTTCATTATATGGTTCCAAAATTATACCGATAAAATCTATCGATAGTATAAAGTGTACAACGCAAGACACCACTAAAATGCTAGTATTCCGGCCGGGCACTGAGCTTCTACTGCGTGCAGCGCCGTTTGATCTGCGCTACGCTCTCCCTTGCATCATAGTACTTTACGTGTCTTGAATATAGGAGAAAGAATCGCAAGCGTGCGCTGTCAGCAACGAATATTTTATTGGAGTTTACTCCTTAAGAATCGATTTGCATATATAAGGGGCCCGGTATGAGAAAAATGTGAGGAGTAAAATCTATCGATGAATGACCTCGTTACGTTTTTGGTGCGCATCCTATGTCGCGCAACTTTGACAAACAAAGATGACGGATTGACATTAATAAAATTATTAAAATCTGAACTGAATTTAGATATTGTTTCTGATAGAGCAATGGGGACAACGAGGTATGGTACAACCATTGATGCGGTATTTTCAAGATTCGTGAACCACGTATCTACGAACGTCCATGTATCTTATTTTAGTTACCATAAACCACTTGTCACTGTATTTAATAATGCAGACACGAACCCTCCCTTTGTTGGATATCCTATAACTCACCGATCTGATCACTGGTTCAGAATGGACTGCCATCGATGGCGTCCTCGATAGTGCCCGCGTGTTATTATCGAAGTGCAGGGGCGCGGGGCCTCCGTAGAAAACCACCAGGAGAAACGACAGCACAGAGAACACGAACCCTCCCTTTGTTGGATATCCTATAACTTACCGATTTGAACCAATCCATCGATGGCGTCCTCGATAGTGCCCGCGTGTTGTTATCGAAGTGCAGGGGCGCGGGGCCTTCGTAGAAAACCACCAGGAGAGACGACAGCACAGAGAACACGGACCCTCCCTTTGTTGGATATCCTACAACTCACCGATCTGCACCAGTCCATCGATGGCGTCCTCGATAGTGCCCCGCGCGTTGTTGCCGAAGTGCGGAGGCGCGGGGATCCAGTAGAATACCACCAGGAGGCACGACAATACAGAGAACCCGAACACTCCCTCCCACCCCACGGCTTGTAGCGGCGGGATGTTCAATCCTGAATAAACATACTGGTGTAGAGTAGATGTTGCTTTACGTAACAAGATTAACACCCACCAATCTGCTATTGACATAATTATGAAACATTTGATTACAAATCTAAGATAAAGAAAAAGTGTTTTGTGAGTAAGGAGAAAACGGTAAAAACCTGGCAATTCTGCCAGGCAGCACCAATTTCAACAAAATTTGGTGATTCGGTGCTGTGTGGTAGAATTGCTAGGGAAACCGTGCATGGGCTGGACTATAAAAATCAATAAAGGGAATGGTAATATGAATTAATTTTAATGAGATCTGAAGGTTATGTTTTAAATCTAAAGAAAATTTTACTAGAGCAATCCACTTGGAGTAGGGGTTCGGACGGGTACTTACGACGTACGAATGCAATGTGTTCTGTGAAAACTGATTTCTGATGACATTTAACATCTGTTGACGTTAAACCGTCTTATTCACCTGCAACGTATTTCTCTTCGTACACCATTTGGCAGGCGGAGACGACTTGTGCCACAATGATGAGCAGGTCGCCGGTAATAAGGCTGTTGCGCCCCTTGGACTCTCCCTTTGTCTGGTACATAGCATCCGTCCCTCCGACTATGAGAAGCCCGCATATCACCACGACTGCAACCAATTAGTGTGCTTTTGTTATTTAAAAGGAAATGCTATAATAGTGGGTGTGGGGAATTATTCAAAGGATGGTATCGTATTCATTGCATAATAATAGAATACACAACGGGCCTGCGTGTGATAGTGAATGAATGCTAAGACCATAATAAAATTATTATGCATAGTCCTCTATATCAATTTTTTGGATTACATATTAGGGCATCAGTTTTCTCGGTGTCCCAGGATTATGTCCCATTAATGGGACCACGAGGAAGAACTGTTTCTCGTGGTCCCATTAAGCCCTTTACCTGGAAAAAATAACTTGTAAACTATCAGCATTTTTGAGTGGCAGTCTTCATTCGGTGTTCGTGATAAATATATGAGTGGGAGATAACCGCGTCTACACTCTATTCAACTTCCTCTGAGATAAAAGGTAAAGAAATAAACAAATGTTTCTTTTTTATAGAGAATAAAGATGACCGGTAAAACCAGACTGATTACAAAATTCAACGTAAATTATTTGCTTTATCTCTACTCTTGAATTAAGTAGTAATAAAGCGTTCAAAGTTTAGGAACAACTGCAATGTTTGGGGCTTTTTAGTGTCACTTTTTTATTATTATTTCTAAGCATATAAAATTCGACCTATTGACATCATTTTTATGGTTTGTTAACCTTTTGTCTCAGAGGAAGTTGAATAGAGTATAGTCTTTTTAGTCTTAGACTAATAATATCAAGCAATTAATACGGTAGTTTAAAAAATAATGAATAAAATATTTTTTTATTGATTATTTTAATTTAATAGTGGTTCTTCTATTAATGGGACGAAATCCTGTGACCTCGAGAAAACAGGGATTATTTTAGAATTTTACAATTATTCCATAAGTTAAATCATGTTTCACGTAGGGATTGCAATCCCGCAAAACGCGATCACGCATTCCCACAGCTTTTTTTTAATTTGCTGGATCGCGCACCTTAAAAGCGCAGAACCGCGGATCCTGCAAATTAAATATTTGGCTCTAAAAGTACGCGTAAATCGCGAGAAGCACGAGCCACACTGGGCGTCAGTGCTGCGCAGTTCATTCGAAACAGGCTCGAGAGATAAAATAAATGGCATTTGCTTCTTAAGAGCGTATTTTCGTAAGTTATCACCATATGTTGATATTATTGTAATAACATCTGCGAGAAAGTGATTTGATTATTAGTCATTAAACGAATAAGAGTAAAATTAAACAAAACTATTAAACTATGCCAAACATATAAAGATGAATCTAAGAAAACAGATTAATACTTATACTGAATTAATAGAAAATAAATGTTTTTTGTTTTGTTATTTGTTCGTTCTTTTGATTAGGTAATCCCGCATATCAATCCCGCGGGATTGAATGAGCTGCGAGAACGCAATCCCTAGTTCCACGGCACAGACTGCGGAATCCTTCATGTGAGAGTTCAATTCGTACTTTGTGCGTTTCAATTGCTTTGCTAAGTGACTCAGGAATACTTTTCAATATTAACAGCTGATGTAATTTGAACGTTGTGTCAATTACATTTAAAGCTGAATTTTATTAATTCGACACCGGAAAATGTTTCGACAAAATAATTAAATAGTATGAAGACAATTAATGACACCTCATTGTGCTCATTGTATTGTATAGTGTAGCATGTTTGTTTCCATAGGCAGATGTATCGTATATACTTAAAAGTAGTAAACATTGAAACTTGAATCACAATTATCGTATTTATTTACACGTTCCAGTTTTTTATGTACCACATTATTCATTGTAATGTCATGACTCAATAACTGGTGTATAAATGTAAACATTGTTTATAGAATAATTATATATTTCATGTAAGTACTTAATAAAAGATTAACTAGATTATTCTTTCGTTTTCTAAATAAAAAAATATGTTCTTTTTTTCGCATATTATTATTATTTAAAGGATTATAAAAAAATATTTCCCCAATAAAGTCAACTTTCCACTACTATAATATTTATGTTACATGGTGAAGTGAATGATTTGAAGATGTGTATTAAAATCATAGTAACAATTTAATCGATATCAATTATAAATATGTTGTGTTTTTGTACATAATACAGACGTAGGCCGTAAGGGTCACAACATCGTCAATGTCAGCCAATAGAAAACTGTTGACGCGAATGAAGCTGGTACGTAGCAAAAGTTACGATTCTGTGATATAGCACGTCCCGCAGATCAAACACATCGATACTTCATCAAGTGAGCACGCATATTCATAACATTTTTACGGATCAGACATCTTAGCATAGCATCAGATACAGTTTTGGTTAACTTAGCCTAATGCTGACTGTACAGTATTTAACATAACTAGAGATGTTGTATAGACATTCATTTCGTCATTGATTAACATAGGTTAATATTTCATTCCTAAACTACTGAAGATACCGATGATAAAGATGCAAGTCCGATTCACAATCGAAGGATTCCGTACGTAATATAAATATTTGAAACTAGATTGAGCAAAAACAAATTCATATTAATTGTGTTTTATTTTTATTCTGTTGTGATAGCGGGGCCACAGTAACACGCTTTCGGTGAAAATTTTAAGCGTCTACCTAGATCCGATCAGGAGACATAGACCTCAGACAGACTATGTAGGCAAATTAATATATTTCCGTAGTCCCTTTGGGTACTGAACTATACAAATTAGCGTGCAAAAGACGTGCATTAAAACCATTATGTAACTTGATTTCAGTTCGGTGTCAATGTTTTGATAACAAGCGTTTTGTTAACCGACATTGTTTTGGGTACTGCATAAGTAAGTACCTATACTGCGAGAACCGCGGTGTCAACATGTCACATGGATACTAATATCGGACTTGGTGAACCGGACTGGCTGTCTGAATCACACGCCAATGATAAGATGGAAATATGTATGCGGGTTATGTAAAGATTAAATAATGTCAGAAGCAAAATGTTTTTGATGAACTGATGTACTTGTACGATAATTTTATATCCATTATCGTAATATAATTGGCCATTGTTAGAACACGCTCGTGCATGGGCAGAATCATATTGGATTTGGAACTCTTAGAAAATGACGTCCTCAATTGTGACGATAGACGCTAGACGATAGCTTGACTGGCGGTGTTTGACAAACATCAAAGGGATTGTGGAGGACGATAAATTTGTATGTGCAGATGATGAAGCGTACAGCCACGCATTTACAAGCGCCGAAAATTTGGAAGCTAATTTTAGCACAATGTTGCCATGCGTAGGTGTGGAAGACTAAGTTTTTCATGTGACTTTACCATCAATAATGTTTTACGGAAAGGAAGGTAGAAAGTGGATCTCTGGTAAATAAATAAAGACACTCATACAAATTTACAAGAAATAAAATTGCTTCAGTTATTAAGTGACACATAGTATGTATTCGCAAAAGCTGACATACTTATTTGTTACCGCTTTGCAGATATCAGGTCATTTAACTTTAAAATTATCATCCCATCAATTAAAAAATAGATTTGATGGGTAACATATTTATCATATATAGTCAGTGCATTCGCCCGGATAGTAAAGGGTGCGGGTTCGAGTTCCGTCTGCTGCCTGGTCGGCGCGGGTTTTTTTCTAGTAATATTTTCTTTAGAATCAAATATCCAGCAGTGACATGCTTAAAAAATAAAAATTATATTTAAATAAATAAATATTTTCAACACTCACACCAATTAGCCTAGCCCCAAGCTAAGCACTAAAAGGCTTGTGTTATGGGATACTAGGGTAACGGATAGAATACATATACTGTACATTTATATAAGTATATTTATATAGAAATGCATATTAAACATCCATGACTGGAGTACAAATGCTCGCATTCATCACACAAACATCTGCCCCCACCGGGATTCGAACCCGGGACCTCTCGAGTCGGCGACACCATGAAACCCGGCGTACAAACCACTCGGCCAAGGAGGTCGTCATTTATCATAATTCTATCAATTGCGAAATTTTACCTCGGTTATGGATAGGCATCACATAGACATGCTGCGTATAAGGTGTCTCTAAGAGTATCTCTGAGGAATATATTGTATAACAAACCGTAATAATAATAATAATAGTTGCATCATGACATTGTAGCAGCTGACAAAAACCTAACGCCGCTCTCCTTGGCGAAAGAGAACTGGCGCAAGCCGAGGGTGCTAAGCACCCAAGATCGCAAGAAAGTATGGAAAAGCAAGGAGCTCCACGGGCGGTTCTATCGGGCCCTAACAGGGCCTGATGTGGACCAGCTCGCCTCCGTGAACTGGCTACGATTCGGTGATCTGTTTGGGGAAACCGAAGGGTTTGTCTGTGCAATTGCTGACGAAGTCATGATGACGAACAACTATCGGAGATATGTCCTGAGGGACGGAACGGCCGACATTTGTCGAGCATCTCTTTGGCCTGGTGAATCCCTCAGACATATTGTCTCTGGTTGTTCTCATCTGGCCAACGGTGAGTATTTGCACAGACATAATCTCGTAGCCAGAATTATTCACCAGCAACTTGCTGTTCAATACAACCTTGTAGAATCCGAGGTGCCGTAATATAAGTACACACCGGCGCCAGTTCTTGAAAATGGTCATGCAACGCTCTATTGGGATCGACCTGTCGTTACGGACAGGACTATTATTGTCAATAGGCCTGATATCGTATTGACAGATCGATTGAAACGCCAGGCAGTGCTCATCGATATCACCATCCCGCATGACGAGAACCTCGTGAAGGCCGAGAAGGACAAGCTCGGCAAGTACCGGGACTTGGCCCACGAGGTAACCGCTTTGTGGGATGTGGATTCGACGATCATTATCCCTATAGTCGTTAGCGTAAACGGACTCATAGCGAAGAGTCACGACCAACATCTAAAGAGCCTCTCGCTAGATGGTTGGGTCAAGGGGCAGATGCAAAAGGCAGTACTCCTGGACACGGCGCGCTTCGTCAGGCGGTTTCTTTCTCTGCGGCCCTAACCACCGGTAGCTTGGGCCTCGCACCGCTGCTGGTGGCCTTCTAGTTTAGGTTTTTTATACTATATTTATTTTTGTATTTTACTTTTATATCTATTTTATAAAAAACCTAACTTGTGAAATGAAATAAATGAGAGTATAATAATAATATTATGCATAACTAATCCAAGGCGGTGGCAAAAATATGACTCTGAAACGGCAATTATTTGCAATAATTAATATTTTGTCACGATACCGTTTCTGCTTAGTTTCTGTTACGATTTCCTCGCGATCTTTACTGAACAAAAAGATAAATACCTAAAAGCTTAGTATACACACTTAGATTAAAACAAAAAGGGTAGATACGGTACGCTCATACTTGCATCAAACAAAAACTGATCCCACGGCAGCGCGAACGGGACGGCGAAATCAGCGTCACTGCACTACCGACCAATCACGCGACCAGTACTCACAGTCACTACCGAATAAGATTCAAAACAAACAGCAATTTTTATGAAAAAATATATTTTATAGTACTTACGAATGAAAAGTGATGCCGTGGGCACTTTTTGAAAACACACTTAGGCATTGTTTTATCATATAACACAAAATATTAGCAATATTTCTTTTCGGCGTTCACATATACGTCGTTTGCATGTCGAGTTGTGACTAAAGCGATTAGGGTCGTGGACCACAATTGGTGCGGATCACTTTTGTGAGGCTAGTGCCGTATCTACCCTTTTTGTTTTAATCTAAGTATACACACAACTTTTTACTATACAATAGGTCAATTATACTCAGTTATTCTTAATGTAGGTACAGATGACATTATTTTATAAGCATATATTAAGTTAGATAAGCTGTAATTGTATTCAGCTTGATTCAATTATTACATCATTGGCGAGGAATGTGATGTGTAGGTGCAGTAATATAACATTACACCACACCATTTATGTACGTTTGGTTAAGGGTGAAAAATATGCACATTCTTTTTTATATTGTATCCATAGCCGTGATTTGGCTGTTCTGACAACTTTTTTGAGATAAATCGAAATTGCTGTACTGGCCACATACAATACATACATGCGAGCAGCGGCCGGCAAAATTTGTATGAAGATCCCTTTAATCCACATCCGTCGTGTTTAGCGGCCAAATAAATTACAAAGTTAACTCATATTTGTGTTATAATTTAAAAATTAATAGTTAAAAAAACTAAAAGCACGCTTTTATTTACTGCGCTAAAAAGCCAAAAATAAATATACTCCCTGTTTACTTCATTAGGGCCTTAGAGTAAGCCATGTTTATACACTTCTGGACACATCTATTGGCCCACCTTGTATTTTCAGTTTCGTTTGGTCCTAGCTAAAATTTTATATTAGGTCGAGCAAAAAGTTTTTATGCAGTTTTGAACCTGGCACATTCACAATTTCATTCAATAGTCTTTTTTTGAATTTCGAAGACAGAATTTAAAGAAACAAAAGACAATTTGGAGCCTGTTTGTTGATATCAAACAATCGAATACTAAGAAAACTTGGTTTTATTGGTTTACTTGGATTTAATTCTTGAAAAAGTGATTGATATCTTTGGTTTTGCAACAAACATTACTTATTCTTAACATTAAGGTGAGGTTCTATCAATAATCTATGGATACTTCACCTGAAGTCGCCGCCCAAGCTGTGGCACTTATTTAGGCCGGACACAGCCAAAGAAACGTGAGAGCTCAACTTAATTTAAGTCGATCTGCGGTCCGAAATGTTTATCGGAGGTACCTAGAGACTGGCGGCTTTGTTCGTGGCCAAGGAAGGCCGCGATCTCGGGTCACAACTGAAAGGCAGGATCGATTCATCGTGACGACCAGCTTGAGAAATCGTCACCTTACCTCCATTGAGATACAAAAACAAATTCGCGACTTCCACGGAGTATCTGTGAGCGCTCGAACTGTTCGGAGAAGGTTAAAAGAACGCGATATGGTACCACACAAGCCAGCTAATGGGCCCAAACTAACGCGAGCCCACCGAACAGCGCGCCTTCATTTCGCGCGCAGTCATTTAAATTGGACACAGCAAGATTGGAGCCGTGTACTCTTTTCTGATGAGTCTAAAATTGTGTTACATGGCAATGATGGAAGGAAGAAGGTCTACCGACGTAAGGGAGAGCGTTTCGCACAATGCTGCTTTGAAGAGAGGGTTGCTTATGGCGGTGGCTCATGGACTGTCTGGGGCGGTATATCCGCGAGCGGCAAAACTCAACTTGAGGTTGTTACAGGACCACGGCCGCCAACATTAAATGCTGAAAGGTACATTCGTGAGTGCTTAGAACCTCACGTGATACCATACGCGGACTATGTGGGCCCAAATTTCCTTTTTATGCATGATAATGCAAGAGCCCATGCGGCCGGCGGCATCGTCAGGGAATATCTTCGGGATGTGAACATCACAGTTATGGACTGGCCAGCCAGAAGCCCAGACATGAACCCCATTGAGCACATGTGGGACGAGCTAAAAAGACGTGTTAGGGCTCGTCAGCCAGTTGCCCAGACGATGCAGGAGTTGAAAACTGCCATAGAAAATGAATGGGAGATGATCCCTCAAAATTTCATAGAGCGGTTGATAAACTCTATGCCTAATCGTATGAGAGCTGTGGTAGATGCCCATGGAGGCAACACGCGTTATTAAATTAAACCTTTATTTGATAAAACATGTTTTTCATTCAAAAATTTAGTTGCCTTTAACAAGGCGCATATCCGACTTGTTAGGCGTAGCTCCATGTCGTATGGTATTCTGAATTCAAATTTAAAACAATACGATCGAAAAAGATGGTAAAATGTATCAGGTTTAAAACTGCATCAACAGTTTTTGTTCAATCTAGCAATCATATTTCGGTAGGGGCCATCACAACATAAACTCTAAGGTGGGCCAATAGATGTGTCCAGAACTGTAGTATATTTTACATATACTACAGTTCTGGACACATATGTTTACTAATAGGCAGAGACTACTAATAGACAAACTCAATATGTTTACTAATAGGCAGTCCAGGGTCCATCAGCCACCTTCCAATCCATCGTCAGGTCCTCGTCATCAAGAGAAATGAACAGAATGTTAAAACGAATCTAATGAGCCCAAACTCGATATGTTTACTAGTAGGCAGTAATAGGTTCCATCAGCCACCTTCCAGTTCCATCATCAGGCCAGCTCGGTACCATAATATTTTATTGTCATTTAATCTTTATATAATTGCCAAGTTTCATGAAGATTCAAGAATTAGCAGTGGTTGTAATTCAGATTTTTAGTTCGTTACAAGTCGACTTAATATAATAAAACCATGTTAAAAATAGAACGACCTTTTACTCTGAAACATGGCAACCAAGGAGGTAACTTATGAAAGGTTTTATTTAAATTTCTAACTGGATTTCGAAATAGGAAGCTGTTACAAAAAAATAAAAGAATACTTTTACACAGGAAAGTTCTTCAGTGTTTGTCAATGTGACTTCCCAGAATTTCGAAAGTTCTGCCTAGGTATGTTCGTCAATGTGACTTCCCAGAATTTCGAAAGTTCTGCCTTGGTATTACTTGTTTTAATTTCGGCGCATTGTTTAAGAGAAGTACTACAGTAAAAAATGTAGAAGTACAAGTCTTGGCCACAACAAAGCATTGGCGGACTTACATATGTGAGCCTCGGCCCACATTTACATGTTCGTCCATCAATGCCTCTTTTGCTGGCCGCTGCAGTAATGTACTATTGTTTAATGAAATGAGAGGGACAATTCTAATAAGCTATTAAAGAATGTATGTATAAACGTGAAATTATGTGGGATGGTAGGATCATAAAAGGGACATAATATAACCATAGAATATACATAGGGGAACAATATTATTGCATGTTACTACTTCTGGGCACCAATAGAAATTTATAGTTTCCCTTTGTAATTTTAAAGTCTCTTCACCAAGCTCACACAGAAGAAGTAATGTAACTTAATTAAGTGTACTTTGTTTACCTTTACATATTTCATGTAACATGACCTGAGGTAATTGAATTAATATTCTGTTGAGACAAAAAGCACTTACATATGCCAGCCCATTCTCGCTTCATTATGTTTCGATTGAGATACGTCACGGAGAGCACCGCGACGAAGATTATGATGGAACCCCGGAACATTTGGAAGCTGCTCACATAGGTCAAAGTCAGACCAATGTACATTATCGACGTGCCGATCTAAACAACAACAATATTTTATTAGTAACTTATAAAAAGCAAGACACAATATCTATCTACCAGGTCTACTTTGTTTTGCAGTGTTTTTAATGTTAAAATATTATTGAGCATAATATCAGCGAATAGCATCTTCATTTCACAGAAAATCATTTGGCATTCACTCATTTGGTAGCAGACATTTAAATGTCTGTATAAAAATTATGCATTTAAATGCATAATTTTGCAAGCCAAAATTAATCGAAATGCTTGCTTCCCTTGTGGGGCTTAATTGAATAAGACGTGGTACGGACTACTAATCTACTTGAATATGAGCCTCAGCAGTGCGGCATAAGAATGAAAGAGCAGTGACAGCTGCCTACTTGTTTACATCTCAAGCATGCTATCTGCGTAAAGTGCTCGCAGGTGCACGGGAACTTTCAATTGAAGTGGATTTTCTGAAATGTGTTGATTGGTGTATTTATGGGCGCTCGGCTCTGCCCAGTGACAGCCTTTTTTCAAGGCAATAACAGCTGAGTTTCAACAGTAATAACGGAACTAACTTAACGGATTCTTACTGTGAACTTTCTGTGATATGATGATAGATATTAAAGAACAATGCCAGATTCCTGCTTAGAAAACTTATAATAAATAAAAAAACGGCCACTTGTTTTTTACATGCAACAATAAACAAACATTGGAAAGTTTAAAATATACTGGAAAGATATATGTATAGAGTGAAATAGATTGCAAAATAATGTTTCAAACACATTTTAGTGATTCAATTAGCTTTTTTCTATTTTTGTATGGCCAGCCATGCTTTTTGGTTTTTTTCTATGGGGCTTTTTGGCTTGTTTTGGGTTAATTGAATGTCTGTTGAACATTGCTAAGTATTCTATTCATCGTTTCAAATAATCCCCAGTTGCTCTTTTTAATTTAATTACTGGACACACACACAAATTTGGCTTACAAAATCATGCATTTTAATGAATGCTAAATGAGTAAATGCCAAATGATTTTCTGCATAATGAAGTTGATCCCATCCACTGATATGCAAAGTCAGTGGCGGACTAAGCCCATCAGAGGCCCGGGGCGGCAAAGCTGAATGAGGCTCCCAGATTTAAAAAAAATGTAGATTCTTATGTTTATTTCGTAAGAACCACTAAATAGAATGTAGTTAATGTAAATGTATGCGTACAACAGTAAATTATTTGAACTTCATTCATTCAGGGATTCCTGAGGAAGTACCCGCTACAAAGATGGGAATTCCCCCAGCGTTCAGCAAAGTCAAATAAATATTAGTACCGCGTAAAAAGTCTAGATTACTGTAGCGTTTTGATTTTGATGAAATTATGTATTATTATGCTTAGTACCTAAGCACATTTTTAAAGTCTTGTTTAGGATTTGATCTGGGGAACGCAGAGGCATTTGGGCCCCCCCCAAGATCGGAGGCCCGGGGCGGGCCGCCCCTTCCGCCCCCATGTTAGTCCGCCACTGTGCAAAGTAATATTATATTATATATTCTCTAATAGGAGGTTATCATTATATAAACTAGTGGTTGCCAATTGTTTGTAAGATGAGGATCTTCACTCTTATATAGCCAATATGTGTGTGTTAATTAATTGATAATATGAACAAATGATGTGAATTTAAACTTACCAGATCGAACATTGCAGCTGGAAGAAGTATAAAAGGATTAAAGTTCTGATTGCCATTTATGAGTTGATGGCCAGTGTCTCTTCGTAAACGCCAGAATATCTTGAATGTCAACAAGCATAGCATTTCACCAAGGAACATCGCACATGCCTGTTGGATGATAGAGTAATTAAATAAAATATATGGTAAAAGTAATTAGAAATTACTACTCATCAGACAAAATCTATTGTAGCAGTTTATAAATTCTAGTTACATATTTTTCTATTTTTGGATAAACTGCTTCAAATTAAGAAAATTAAATGAAAACAAATTTTGAGTACTGAAAACATTTATCAGAATCAAACAGTATCCAAAAACATAGATATTTTATAGCCATGTGCTGACCTGCAAGAATGGATGATCAAATTTTCTTGTTTCTCCATCTGAACCTTTTGCCTCAATAGTATCAGCCCATTTTGTGCAAAGACTGTTGATTGACCCAGTTGCAACCAACATCAAAGTTAGAAATTTTTGGTACTGGGACCATGCCATCTGTGAAAGAAAATCCTCATAAGATTGGCGTTATGTAAACTCAATTAGAAGTAAATATAAAATCCAAATCAATGCTTAGATACGTTTTGTTTTTGTAAAATTTCTAAGGTTAAATAGCAAATATTTTTTAGCTATTCGAAATTCAATTCAATATAAATGTTCAAAAGTCTCAAGTTCAAGCAGGTAGGTAGGTTCTTAGTTGTGATTTTTTTGAAATTGTAAATATATTCTGTTTCAATTTACAAACGAATGAAGTTTTCAATTATAATAGCAGTAACTAAGAAATTGGGTTTCTTGTATCAATTAATTTTGTAGTTACTTAAATGTTCTTATCAAAGTTACTTCACCTTGTATCTTCTTTTACGAAACAGCTGAATATTATAATATAATAATATTATTCTTGTTTGTAAACGTATTGATATAATGAGACTGCAAGGTGCAACACAAAAAAGTGACAATTTTAAATAATCTTTGAGCTAAACAGTGTTCAACTACCAGCTCCGATTCTCCGATTTTAATTATTTTCTTGTAAATCACGCGTAGGGATGAAACGATACGAGTTAATACGAGTAATAACTCGATACTTTTCTATCGATACCAAGTACTTGTCATCGATACTTTAGAACTGAGTTACAAGTAGTATCGTGAAGAAGTACTTGTATCGGCACTCTGCTATATCGATAATATCGAGACCAAAATATCGATATTTATATCGATATTTAAAATTCACTGATATCGATAATATCGATATCGGAAATTCCAAAATATTGATATTTCGTAGACTAAATTTGAACACAATAATGGTGTCAATTCTGGCGTGATTCTCTAAACTTAAAACTAAATTTAAGGTCAGTCTCACCTTTTCATTCTGTATAGAGAAGGACAAGGATGCACTGTTGTCAAATTTAAGTTTAGCTTTAGAGAATCATGCCAGAATCGACATCATTATCAGTTAATTTACCTGCTATGACTATCTAAATTGAAAATTATCGAAATAACTATTGTTTTGAAATCGCAAGAGCTTATAGATGTATTAAAAAAATCTTGAACCCCAAGAAATATACTAAACTGGTGTCGATTCTGGCATGTTTCTCTAAACCTAAAATTAAATTTGACAACAGTGTATCTTTGTCATTCTCTATACAGAATGAAAAGAAGGGACTGATGTTAAATTTAGTTTTAAGTTTAGATAATTATGCCAGAATCGACACCAACGTATATAGGTATAATCGTATACCTAATGGTAACTTATGCACTTAAATAAAATCCTTGCCTTTCTTTCTAGATAATTGTCAACTACTGATTAATTGAAATTTAATATCATTGTAATATAACACAAAATAAAATTAAGAATCTTATACAAATCGTAAATTTTTTAAGCTCACCAAGTCAAGAAAGTAAGATATAGTAATTGTGGAAGCTTTGGGCTTACCCTATTCTGAAGCCATGGGCACGCCCCTGATGTTTTAACATTTAAACAAAATAAATATCTTTGATTCGAAATTGCTTTTGATTTGATACTTCTTACAGCGCTATAAAAATATAGAAAATATCTATAAACATCGTGTTGGAAATGTTGGAATGGCTGATATATCGGATCGGATATCGATATTTACCTGCCCACATTATAAATATCGATATTTTGGAAACCTTTGCTTCCTTAATTTTAGGTTTTTGCTTTGCAAACTTAATCCAAAGCAAAAAAGAAAAAAATATCGATATATCGATAATATCGAGTTAAAATCGTCGATATATCGGATATCGATATTTTCCTGACTTCGATATAAATATCGATATAAATATCGATATTTCAAAAGACTTTGCATCCCTACACTCTGCCATTCACTCACTGAGAAGTGTCAAAAAAACTCATAGGCAGATTATTTATTACTCTGGTAAGGGGTCTAGTTGCAATTTTTGTTTTCTACTATTCTACTGCTCAGTTGGCAGCCTTGCGTATGATTTATATTTAATTTGTAGCGACTGGATTCCAAGAATGCTGAGTTGATATACAGTTTGTCTATAAAGTCGTGACATTAATGTTTGAGGAACTAACATTATTCGTGTCTGGCAACACCAAACTTATGTACATCAGCTGTCATCGAGTTTCAGTTGTGGAACAGTTTTCCTTTTGTATTTTTATTGTTTGGATTAAACTGTAATAAATTAAGACGACACTACGCAGAAAGGTATAAAAATGAGTAAAGTAAATGGGAGTGGCACGCGGGAAGTGATTTTTAAAGTTTTCCAGCGATGTTTCGAAGACTACCAAGCTTGACGAATTTTGTGGGATTTGGATGATGTTTATGGGCGAACAGCATCTATGATGGGTATGTAATCGTGTAACTATTTGTTTGTAATCTGCCTGAAGTTACAAATTTACTCAATTTACGATTTTGAGACCAAAAAAGGCATTGTTTACATTGCACATTTTTAGGTTAGATTGACATTGTAAATAGGTAATATTGTAGTACGACCATTTCTTTTGATACGTCATTATGGTTCAACTCGGTCAGGTTTTCTACCAATTTTGAATTAATTGCTTCATGTCAATAAGTTATTGTTTCTATTCCGTTACATATTTTTTTACCTTTTTTTCAGGAAAATCAGAGAGTACAGTTAAGCGGATAGTCAACAAAGGTTTAAAGAATGATGGAAAGTTTGAAACTCCTGGGAAAACAGGCAAGGCCGACCAAAGAAAGAAATGGTCACATAAAGAACCATGGCCAGATGCTTTTAGTTAAGATACCTATCACTAATTTTACTAACTTCACATTTACAAATTGTTTCTCTAACTAAATAAACTTTTTATATACTATAAAATGATTATTAGTATTATTTTCTTAACAAGTGTGTTAAAAAACGTCGTATTATGATACTTGTGTGTATTGATGGTTACCTAAGGGCTCTGGTCTCAATGGCACCTCAGCGGTAATCACCAACATTCAGTGGCGGACTAACAGGGGGGCTGAAGGGACGGCCCGCCCCGGGCCTCCGATCTTGGAGGGCCCCCAAATGCCTCCACGTTTCCCTGATCAAATCCTAAACTAGACTTTAAAAATATGCTTAGTACCTACATAATTTCATCAAGATCAAAACACTACAGCCATCTAGACATTTTACGCGGTACTAATATTCTTTTAACTTCGCTGAACGCGTTGAATGTATTATTGAATAGTTTTAATGTATTATTAAAGTTACAAGGAGAAACTAACTGCAAATTATTAATCAGCGCTTTCCCTTATGCTAAAAACTTGACGTGGGATGAAAATAAGCGCATTTTTGATTTAAATACATATTTGTATAATTTGATTAATCGTCATAGTGACGTCATTTTGTTTTTTGACATTAATAAATTTATTAGTAATTTTAAGCTGACTTCAGATACTATGTATCTTTCAAAGAAATCTCGGACACAATTAGCTAATTTGTTAGCTTTTAATTTACAAATTGTAATTACTTCTTTTAAAACTGACATTAGTACTTGTACTAATTCAAATCTATTGATAAATTGTAATTCTACAATAAACTCCGTAGATTGAAACTTAAGCGTATGACAAAAGCTAAGCCTAATTGTGTCAATATTATTCACCCAAATATACAGGGCTTGGCTGGCAAAGACTTAGAGTTAGAATTATTAGCAAAAGGTCATGAAACTCATATCATGTGCTTAACTGAACACTGGCTGCAACAACATGAAATGTCATTTTATTTAAACAATTTTCAACTATCCAGTGCATTTGTACGCAGGACAGCTATTCATGGAGGATCTTTAATTTTTGTAAAACATCATGTAAAATGTAAGGAAAGAAAGGACATTGTAAGCCTTTCAGTGGAACGCCATGTTGAGCTGTCGTGTGTAGAGTTAGTAAATTTTTATATAGTATGTGTATACCGCCCCCCCTCAGGAAACTTTGGTACATTTGAATTAGTCATGGAGGACTCTCTCAATAAATTAAAAAATAAATCTGTAATAGTATGTGGTGATTTTAATGTCAATCTACTTGAAAATAGCTCTTTGAGTCTTGGGTTAATTACTTTGTTTAAATGTTTTAATTTAAATTTCCAGTTTACTGAACCAACCAGAGTAACATCTCACTCAGCCACTTGTTTAGACAACTTTTTTTCTGAATTGGATGCAATGAGGGCTACCGTTTTCTGCCTCACCAGATGGCGCCACTGTTGAGTGAGGTCCTAAATTGTAACTTTTAAAGTTTATTAATACGCACATGAAATCAAAGGTTACATTTAGATCGTATTTTAACACAAAAGAACCATATCCTAAACATAATAGGCCATGCCACAGTGACGTGCAGTTCTGTTTTATTCGGAAAAAATGGGAACATAATCATTTTTCTAAGCTCAAATTTTTAATAACTGACATTCATTGCCACATAACTCATATTTGCCATAATTAAGCGGAATTGTTACTAATTATTCACAACATTATTTTAATTAGAAATAAACCCGCGTAGTCAACCAACCAGCAATAACATTTGACATTTCGGAGACCTCACGCTACACTAGCGCCTCTAGCGGCGGATTCATACGCCATAGCCCTCATTGAAAAGTCAGTCTTTAGTGATAATATTACTTCCGATCATCTCGGTTTAAAGACAACATATAGTTTCAATGTCAGTACTGAGCCGAACATAATAGATGGTAGACCTATAACAAATGAGCGCGTTAATAATTTTAAAAATAACATTAGCGATAAACTTCCTTTAATGCCTTGGATGCATGATGATCCGGATATTTTGTACAAAAATCTTTTTGATTTAATAAATAATGAATTTCAAAATACGTTCAGACTGAAAACCATTAAATGTACACAGAAGTTGCAGTTCTGTGACTGGGCGACAAGTGGTATATATAAGAGTAGAACAAGGCTGTATGAGCTTTATAGAATCAAAGAATATAACCAGAATCCTGAGTTTATTAACTATGTTAGAAATATTCCAAATTGTTTAAAAGCATATGTAATACTGCAAAGTCCAATTTTATTAGGGATACTATTAAAAAATCTAGTAATAAAATAAAGACCACTTGGGATATCATTAAGCGCGAAAGTGGAAAGTGTCTCGCCTCGTGAAAATAGCATGATTCTTAAAATCAATAATAATCTCGTAAAATCGAAACATGAAGTCGCAGATATTTTCGATAATTTTTTTATGAACATACCAGTAGAAATTACTTCCAACTTAGACTCATCGTCAGATACTGCTAAAGCTCTGTTACAAAAATATGTACCACCGTGTGGTTTATTATTCAATTTTAAGCACGTAAGCTCTTTTAAAATAATAAAAGTTTTCCATTCATTGAAAATGAAAAATTCAACTGATTTATGGGGTATATCTGTCAAAGTCATAAAGAATATTATACATTCTATAGCCCCTTACCTTGCTGATATTTTTAATTCATGTATAGATCAAGGAGTATTCCCTGATCTTATGAAATTCAGTAAAATTATACCTTTATTTAAGTCTGGAAGTTGTAAAGATCCTAGCAACTATAGGCCAATATCTATATTACCAGCATTAAGTAAAATCTTTGAAAAAATAATGTTAGAACAATTGTTAACTCATTTTAACATTATTAAACTATTACACAGAGCGCAGTACGGTTTCACTAAAAACCGTTCCACGACTGATGCAGGTGCCACTATGCTAAAATATATATTTGATGCTTGGGAAAAGTCGCAGAATGCTCTTGGGATATTCTGCGATTTATCTAAAGCCTTTGATTGCGTTAATCATCAAACTTTGTTATGTAAATTAAATCATTATACGGCATAAAAGATACCGCACAAAAAATAGTGCAATCATATTTAACAGAAAGGACACAGACAGTTGATATTAACGGTACAAAATCAGCCGGATCTCATGTGAAAATAGGCGTTCCCCAGGGTTCAAGTTTAGGTCCATTTCTTTTTTTAATTTACGTTAATGATTTACCTTTCTTTGTAGAAAGATTTTGTGACATTGTTTTGTTTGCAGATGACACCTCACTAATTTTTAAC